TTTATATAGGAGAGAGGAGGCTGATTGATTGCAGTGTTCTCTGTGAGGAGCCCTCCACTTTGGAATGGACTCCTCGCTTGGGCTGAAATGGCTTGATCCTGCTGATTTTCAGGGCAGGGTACAAGACCCATCTATCTCCCCAGGCTTTTGGGGCAGATGAGGTGTCTGAAGCTCAGGATAGACGCGTCTTGATGTCTGTTATGAGCCTAAATAAATACATTCACTTCAAATAAGAGAACTACATATTCAGCGCTCTGCAATGGAGACGCTGACCCAAGGCAAAGAGCCTGAAATGGAATCCTGGGATGCCTCCAGTTCTGATGGAAGGAGAGCAAGCCCAGCTGTTGGAGATGCCCAGACATTGATGTGTGATACTGAATAGTCCCCAGCTAACATCAGATGCTGCCTTCAAAACGGGAAAGAAAGAGCTCAGGGCAGCGGGGCAGGGAGATGTCCGTTTGATCCCAGTTACTGGATTAATTCTCAGGTGCTGGACCGTGCCCGAAGTGCCCACACTGCACCTAGAACAGTTCTAGGAAGTTGTAACTTTCCCCACAAATGGCTCTGTGTTGTAACTTAAGATGCAGCAAGGCGGACAAGGGCGGGCTGTGGCTGTTAGAAATGTTGTTCGGATCAGTTTTATGGCCTAAGATGGATGTAGCTCTCTCCAGCAGTTTTTGGGAAAGCTCCAGTTTTTAGGGAAAGATTCATGGATTCAAAGTCTATTGCTGCTCCAAATCTTAAACACTTTGAATCATGTTGATAAGCTCCAGCGGGTGTTGCAGGCATTTTGGGCCCTTGTTTCCCTCAGAACAAACATCCCAGACGCACCAATAAATCTGATAAAAGGCTAGCGGGTCCCCAGGGTCCATGTGGAAGATATACGGCTGGGGACCCGGCCAGGGTTTGCTGTTTTGCTGCTCCAACCAGTTGTTACAGAGAGGCTGCTGAAACGCTGAGCTAATGTGGAAAAATACTTCCGATCCAGGCAGTGTCAGCTGTGAAAAGATAGGGCATTCATGCAGATGAGCCTTTGGGTCAGACGAACTGTGAGGCTGTATACTGTTCAGGACAGGGACTGCATCTGTCCAGGGCGTAGGCGCTTTTGGGTTCTGTTTTGTACTATAAAGGATGTTACTGTGCACATTGTGTGTTCCCTGCTGTTAGCCACTGGGGTCGTAAATCAGAGGCAGCTTCGAGGGCGTAGCCTGTTGACTGCAAACCGCTTTGAGTTCCAGCTGTTCCTTTTCCTTGTCTTCTGGAGCACCTCTCTAGAAATGGGTCATCTAGAGAGGTTTGTATGCTTCATGGAAGGACCGTCCTGATTAGAATCCATTTTGGGGCGCTAAAACACGCTCTCTGCATTTCTCTGGTCACGAAGGGCAGTGGCAAGAAATTGGGATCTTTGCTGCCGAAGAGTTCAGTGACTCCTGCTGCAAAACCCAGCTGCAATCTTCCCCAAGAGTCACAAGGGAGAGGGGTGCCGTGAACAGGATTGTGGTGACCCTGATGGTCTGTGAACTCCCCTCACCACCAGTAGAAGAAATTCAGTTAGCCCCTAAGAATCTGATAACCCTGTGACTGACCCAGAATAAAGCCATGTGCAGAGGGGCACTTGGAAGGGAGGAAAGGGTCACCGCCCTCTCTGCTATCCTGCAGCTGTGGCAGCTTTCCAAGCACATAGCATGCTGTCTGTGATTCCATTGCATCCTGCTGCCCGTATAGATTGCCATATGCCCCTATACTTGGAACAGTCTCTCACTTCTCCTGCAGCTCCTCTTTGAGACTCACAGATCTCCCTTTAAAACTCATTCCCCTTGCCTTCCACCACGGGCCAACTTTGACTGTGACTGGTGCCTCTCTCCCATCTCTGACTGTTTGGACTATAGCTGTCTAAGCTAAACTGCAAGCTGCTTGGGGCAGGGACTGCTTTAGACTAAGTGCCAGCTTCACACTGACGTATACCATGTGTCATCACTTACTCCTGAACTTGCAGCCAGTCCTGTCTCTATGTTCCTCTTCCTTTTATTACAGCTTGCCTCTGGGGGTCATAATAGTCTCGGTAAAATGCACCAGCTTGAATCCTTGGGACTCGGGGAGCGGCAGGGGAGGGGGGAGAGCGGAGGAATGACCCAACCACCCAAAACACATCCATTGCCAGGTGAAACGGTGAGTGGTAGAAATGACACTCACTGCCCCACATTATGAAAAAAGAAAAGGAGTACTTGTGGCACCTTAGGGTATGTCTACACTATGAAATTAGGTAGAATTTATAGAAGTCGTTTTTTTAGAAATTGGTTTTATATATTCGAGTGTTTGTGTCCCCACAGAAAATGCTCTAAGTGCATTAACTCGGCGGAGTGCTTCCACAGTACCGAGGCTAGAGTCGACTTCCAGAGTGTTGCACTGTGGGTAGCTATCCCACAGTTCCCGCAGTCTCCGCTGCCCATTGGAATTCTGGGTTGAGATCCCAATGCCTGTTGGGGCTAAAACATTGTCACGGGTGGTTCTGGGTACATATCGTCAGGCCCCCATTCCTTCCCTCCCTCTATGAAAGCAAGGGCAGACAATCATTTCGCGTCTTTTTTCCTGAGTTACCTGTGCAGACGCCATTGACGGGCAAGCATGGAGCCCGCTCAGGTAACCGTCACCGTATGTCTCCTGGGTGCTGGCAGACGTGGTACTGCATTGCTACACAGCAGCATCAACCCATTGCCTTGTGGTAGCAGACGGTGCAATACGACTGGTAGCCGTCATCGTCATGTCCGAGGTGCTCCTGGCCACATCAGCCAGGAGCGCCTGGGCAGACATGGGCGCAGGGACTAAATTTGGAGTGACTTGACCAGGTCATTCTCTTTAGTCCTGCAGTCAGTCCTATTGAACCATCTTATGGTGAGCAGGCAGGCGATACGGATTGCTAGCAGTCCTACTGTACCATCTTCTGCCAGGCAGGCAAGAGATGAGGATGGCTAACAGTCCTATTGCACCGTCTTCTGCCGAGCAGCCATGAGATGTGGATGCCTTGCAGCCCTTCTGCACCATCTGCTGCCAGCCAAAGATGTAAAAGATAGATGGAGTGGATCAAAACAAGAAATAGACCAGATTTGTTTTGTACTCATTTGCTTTCCCCCCTCCCCCATCTAGGGGACTCATTCCTCTAGGTAACACTGCAGTCACTCACAGAGAAGATGCAGCGAGATAAATCTAGCCATGTATCAATCAGAGGCCAGACCAACCTCCTTGTTCCAATAAGAACAATTACTTAGGTGCACCATTTCTTATTGGAACCCTCCGTGAAGTCCTGCCTGAAATACTCATTGATATAAAACCACCCCCTTTGTTGATTTTAATTCCCTGTAAGCCAACCCTGTAAGCCATGTCGTCAGTTGCCCCTCCCTCTGTCAGAGCAACAGCAGACAATCATTCCGCGCCTTTTTTCTGTGCGGACGCCATACCAAGGCAAGCATGGAGGCCGCTCAGCTCACTTTGGCAATTAGGAGCACATTAAACACCACACGCATTGTCCAGCAGTATATGCAGCACCAGAACCTGGCAGAGCGATACCGGGCGAGGAGGCGACGTCAGCGCGGTCACGTGAGTGATCAGGACATGGACACAGATTTCTCTGAAAGCGTGGGCCCTGCCAATGCATGCATCATGGTGCTAATGGGGCAGGTTCATGCGGTGGAACGCCGATTCTGGGCTCGGGAAACAAGCACAGACTGGTGGGACCGCATAGTGTTGCAGGTCTGGGACGATTCCCAGTGGCTGCGAAACTTTCAAATGCGTAAGGGCACTTTCATGGAACTTTGTGACTTGCTTTCCCCTGCCCTGAAGTGCATGAATACCAAAATGAGAGCAGCCCGCACAGTTGAGAAGCGAGTGGCGATAGCCCTGTGGAAGCTTGCAACGCCAGACAGCTACTGGTCAGTTGGGAATCAATTTGGAGTGGGCAAATCTACTGTGGGGGCTGCTGTGATGCAAGTAGCCCGTGCAATCAAAGTTCTGCTGATATCAAGGGTAGTGACCCTGTGAAATGTGCAGGTCATAGTGGATGGCTTTGCTGCAATGGGATTCCCTAACTGTGGTGGGGCCATAGACGGAACCCATATCCCTATCTTGGCACCGGAGCACCAAGCCGGCGAGTACATAAACCGCAAGGGGTACTTTTCAATAGTGCTGCAAGCTCTGGTGGATCACAAGGGATGTTTCACCAACATCAACGTGGGATGGCCAGGAAAGGTACATGACGCTCGCATCTTCAGGAACTCTGGTCTGTTTCAAAAGCTGCAGGAAGGGACTTTATTCCCAGACCAGAAAATAACTGTTGGGGATGTTGAAATGCCTATATGTATCCTTGGGGACCCAGCCTACCCCTTAATGCCATGGCTCATGAAGCCGTACACAGGCAGCCTGGACAGTAGTCAGGAGCTGTTCAACTACAGGCTGAGCAAGTGCAGAATGGTGGTAGAATGTGCATTTGGACGTTTAAAGGTGCGCTGGCGCAGTGTTCTGACTCGGTTAGACCTCAGCGAAACCAATATTCCCACTGTTATTACTGCTTGCTGTGCACTCCACAATATCTGTGAGAGTAAGGGGGAGACGTTTATGGCGGGGTGGGAGGTTGAGGCAAATCGCCTGGCTGCTGGTTACGCGCAGTCAGACACCAGGGCGGTTAGAAGAGCACAGGAGGGCGCGGTACGCATCAGAGAAGCTTTGAAAACCAGTTTCATGACTGGCCAGGCTACCGCGTGAAAGTTCTGTTTGTTTCTGCTTGATGAAACCCCCCGCCCCTTGGTTCACTCTACTTCCCTGTAAGCTAACCACCCTCCCCTCCTCCCTTCGATCACTGCTTGTAGAGGCAATAAAGTCATTGTTGCTTCACATTCATGCATTCTTTATTCATTCATCTCACAAATAGGGGGATGACGACCAAGGTAGCCCAGGAGGGGTGGTGGAGGAGGGAAGGAAAATGCCACACAGCACTTTAAAAGTTTACAACTTTAAAATTTATTGAATGCCAGCCTTCTGTTTTTTGGGCAATCCTCTGTGGTGGAGTGGCTGGTTGGCCAGAGGCCCCCCCACCGCATTCTTGGGCATCTGGGTGTGGAGGCTATGGAACTTGGGGAGGAGGGCGGTTGGTTACAGAGGGGCTGCAGTGGCAGTCTGTGCTCCAGCTGCCTTTGCTGCAGCTCAACCATACACTGGAGCATACTGGTTTGATCCTCCAGCAGCCTCAGCATTGAATCCTGCCTCCTCTCATCACGCTGCCGCCACATTTGAGCTTCAGCCCTGTCTTCAGCCCGCCACTTACTCTCTTCAGCCCGCCACCTCTCCTCCCGGTCATTTTGTGCTTTCCTGCACTCTGACATTATTTGCCTCCACGCATTCGTCTGTGCTCTGTCAGTGTGGGAGGACAGCATGAGCTCAGAGAACATTTCATCACGAGTGTGTTTTTTTTTCTTTCTAATCTTCACTAGCCTCTGGGAAGGAGAAGATCCTGTGATCATTGAAACACATGCAGCTGGTGGAGAAAAAAAAAGGGACAGCGGTATTTAAAAAGACACATTTTATAAAACAGTGGGTACACTCTTTCAGGGTAAACCTTGCTGTTAACATTACATACATAGCACATGTGCTTTCGTTACAAGGTCGCATTTTGCCTTCCCCCACTGCGTGGCTACCCCCTCAACCCTCCCCCCTCCCCGTGGCTAACAGTGGGGAAAATTTCTGTTCAGCCACAGGCAAACAGCCCAGCAGGAAGGGGCTCCTCTGAGTGTCCCCTGAAGAAAAGCACCCTATTTCAACCAGGTGACCATGAATGATATATCACTCTCCTGAGGATAACACAGAGAGATAAAGAACGGATGTTGTTTGAACGCCAGCAAACATACACTGCAATGCTTTGTTGTACAATGATTCCCGAGTAAGTGCTACTGGCCTGGAGTGGTAAAGTGTCCTACCATGGAGGATGTAATAAGGCTGCCCTCCCCAGAAACCTTTTGCAAAGGCTTTGGGAGTACATCCAGGAGAACCGCGAATGCCAGGGCAAATTAATCCTTTCACATGCTTGCTTTTAAACCATGTATAGTATTTTAAAAGGTACACTCACCAGAGGTCCCTTCTCCGCCTGCCGGGTCCAGGAGGCAGCCTTGGGTGGGTTCGGAGGGTACTGGCTCCAGGTCCAGGATGAGAAACACTTCCTGGCTGTCGGGAAAACCGGTTTCTCTGCTTGCTTGCTGTGAGCTATCTACAACCTCCTCCTCATCATCATCTTCTTTGTCCCCAAAACCTGCTTCCATGTTGCCTCCATCTCCATTGAAGGAGTCAAACAACATGGCTAGGGTAGTGGTGGCTGAACCCCCTAAAATTGCATGCAGCTCATCATAGAAGCGGCATGTTTGGGGCTCTGACCCGGAGCGGCTGTTCGCCTCTCTGGTTTTCTGGTAGGCTTGCCTCAGCTCCTTAAGTTTCACATGGCACTGCTTCGGGTCCCTGTTATGGCCTCTGTCCTTCATGCCCTGGGAGATTTTGACAAAGGTTTTGGCATTTCAAAAACTGGAATGGAGTTCTGATAGCACGGATTCCTCTCCCCATACAGCGATCAGATCCCGTACCTCCCGTTCAGTCCATGCTGGAGCTCTTTTGCGATTCTGGGACTCCATCATGGTCACCTCTGCTGATGAGCTCTGCATGGTCACCTCTTCTGATGAGCTCTGCATGATCACCTGCAGCTTGCCATGCTGGCCAAACAGGAAATGAGATTCAAAAGTTTGCGGTTCTTTTCCTGTCTACCTGGCCAGTGCATCTGAGTTGAAAGTGCTGTCCAGAGCGGTCACAATGGAGCACTCTGGGATAGCTTCCGGAGGCCAATACCATCTAATTGTGTCCACAGTACCCCAAATTCGACCCGGCAAGGCCGATTTAAGCACTAATCCACTTGTCAGGGGTGGAGTAAGGAAATCGATTTTAAGAGCCCTTTAAGTTGAAATAAAGGGCTTCATCGTGTGGACGGGTGCAGGTTTACATCGATTTAACGCTGCTAAATTCGACCTAAAGTCCTAGTGTAGACCAGGGCTTAGAGACTAACCAATTTATTTGAGCGTAAGCTTTCGTGAGCTACAGCTCACTTCATCGGATGCGTTCAGTGGGAAATCATCTAATAGATTCGTCTTCAGTGATAAACACAGACCGTCAGCCACTAATCTGTGGGAATGTTAGCATCAGCAGAAAACCTTGAATGACAAGCCTGGGCTGTTCACGCTGTTCTGTCACAGACATAGACTGTGATAGCTTCCCCGGGCCCTGATCAAAGGCGAGTGCATGGAAACATTTTGCTTGATCTGGAGAGTGCTTTTGACACAGCTAATTGTAGGATATTAATGAACAAAGCTGAGTGGCTGGGGTGGTTTGAAGCTCTGACTGACGTTTCAGAGCTGCCTGATGGAAAGGGCTCAGCAAAGTGGAGGTTTAAGTTACTGAGGCTAATGATCACAGGGAGTGAACTGCACCTCAGGGGAGGGTGGCTTTTCCAGAGGGCTATGGAGTTGGTTTGTTATACTGTAGTTAATAATGTGTCTAAGTCTCTTCTGCTTTCCTTCGTGTATATAACTCCATGGAAAGACCTCCTGTTCCCAGTTCTGCTTGTACACCAAGCTGCCTCTCTGCTCTGCTGCCTGGGACCACTCAGAGAAGGGGCTGCCACTCCCCACACCAGGGGGTCCCTCTCCGCCTCTTCCTTAGGTTGCTGCCATATTGGAGGAGCAGTCAGTGTGAGTCAAGCCACCTCCTGCTCCTCTGCCGAGGTCCCATCTAGTCCAGCCCCCTGGCCAGTGCAGGTTTGGCCCCTACCGTCTATTCTCCAGTCTGATTTTTAATGACATAAAGAATGCAGCAGCCACCATTTCACAGTCTAATAGATCTCCAGCTCCTTTGTGTCTCATTAGGGAGTGACCCAACGTTGGCTGGAAGTAACCTGGCCAGCCCTGAAGATCTGATGTCTAACCCAGCAGGACTTATTTTACTCCCCTTGGAACATAAGAGGGTTTCAGCTCCAAACAGAATAGAAGTGACAGCGACCTCCTGCCTGAAGGCCCTTCTCTTGATTGTCACTGGCACCCCGTCACCTCATACATACCCCACACAGCATGGCCCACGTGCAGTGAGAATGCGGAGCAGTCCTGCCACCCGAAACCCAGAGGGAGGACACTTTGGACAGCTGGGACATGCAGGCGAGAAGTCAGTGACGTGTCTCGTGTCCTTTGTAGTTTTCTTGTGGTGGGGAAAGATGCTGGATTGACAGCCCTGGAGACCGATGGCCTCAATTTCTCCTCAGAGCAGACACAGCACGGCGCCCCCTCTTCATCCCCCTCAATGTGCCTTATCCACCCCCATGAGACCCAACTCCCTAGGGGACTTCAGTCTCAAAGACCAACCAAATCCCTCCTGAACCTCACCCCTCTTCTGTCAGGCATTTCAAGGGACATTCACCCAGCAGATAATGAGGATTTAAAAACTAAATTAACCAAGTTACAAGAGGAGACCATGTGTCTGTGGCTGTATCAAACTTAGTGCCACTGTGGGCTTTGTACCACAAGAACCAACTCTCCCCTTACATAACGTACAGCAGCAAGCTGTATGGTGCTCAGTAAATAGCAATAAGCCGGTGGCAGAACCTATTAGCATTAACGTCCTGGTGATTTTGTGGCATGTCTTTCACGTCGGCCACAGAACAGCTGTTTGATGGGCACGTCTTGCTGTCACTGCTGACCTGTGCTGGATTCTTTTTCATAATGATGATTTTTCTGCATGCGTTTTTCTGAGATGCCTCCACTGTCCCAGATGGAATTGTCGGATGGCGGCGTAGAATTTGCTACTGCTTCTGTTTCGTATTCTCTCATTTGAGAGGGAGGAGGGGAAATGTCTCTTGGCTATGGTGAGACATTGCCTCATGCTGTTACAATGTCAGGGCATGTCTCCTCTTTGCAGCTCTCAGACCCTGCCAGAGCGCTGGGAGACAGCTGAACAATCAAGGAGCATGGTCCAGATGGACTGGTGTTGATACAATCCCACTGATTAGTCATGCCAGATGGGACTGGGTTAATGTGCAGTAACAGGGTACCATACAGTAATGGGTTACCGTGTCCTGGCAAGATCAGCACTAGTAAGCCAAGGGTGAGAGGTAGTTCTTAAACCAGCCATAGGCAGGGACAGGGGACTGGCCTGTTCAATGAAGCTTTCTGACTGTGTCTTGCTTTCCTTTGGCAGAGTCTCTTCTGGTTCATTCCAGGCTGGACAGCTATGCCTGCCCTTTGGGACAGTTCCCCTGTGGCAACCTGTCTGTCTGTTTACCCCAGCTCCTGCACTGCAACGGAGAGAAGGACTGCGACAACGGAGCCGATGAAGAGAACTGCGGTAATTAGCTAACCTCACAGCCTGCCCCCTCTTTCCATTTCTTCTTGCTGCCAGACGAAAGGCAGATGCCCTGTAGTTAATAAACCATGTGGACCTGGAAACCCCAGATCCAGAACCAGCAATATTGTCAAAGGGATTCTGGGAACATGAACACGGGGCGGACTTTAAGGGTCACTTATGGTTACCTGGCTGCCTTGCAGCTATCACTGAAGGTATAAACCTCTTACTGGGAGAGTACAATTTTGAATCTTGCCCATATGCTCAGGGTTTAGCTGATCGCCATATTTGGGGTCGGGAAGGAATTTTCCTCCAGGGCACATTGGAAGAGGCCCTGAAGGTTTTTCGCCTTCCTCTGTAGCATGGGGCACGGGTCACTTGCTGGAGGATTCTCTGCTCCTTGAAGTCTTTAAGCTACGATTTGAGGACTTCAATAGCACAGATATAGGTGTGAGGTTTTTTTTGTAGGAGTGGTGGATGAAATTCTGTGGCCTGCATTGTGCAGGAGGTCAGACTAGATGATCATAATGGTCCCTTCTGACCTAAATATCTATGAAATCTATGAAATTTCCTCTGACCTTCTAATAATGATACAGATGTCTAGGTAAGGGGTTGCTGGACAGAGATCACCCCAGCCTTACATGTAGGAGTGTAGGACCCAGCAGAAGAGGAATATTCTGTCAGGACACAGTAGAGAGTCAAAGGGGCAGGGGGCAGGAGCTAACGTAAACTAGAGATGGGCTGAAGTCACCAAATATGGGGCTGGAGGCAGGTTTTGAACACCCCATGTTTCAGGGGAGTCAGATCTAAGGCTTATAAAAATGGGCTCCAACGGCAAGAACCAGCTTCAGCTCCGATTCTGAATTCCCACGCTCTGAATGCAGGGGTATTCTGATCCAGGTGCTTGGTTCAGGCCCAGGCCCAGCATCTCTCATGCTAGCGGTACGATCAGGAATCAGAGTGGGGGTGAGCGAGTCTGGGGGAGGCTGGGCATGGGGAGGAGCAGTGAGTGAGTCTGCTGTGAGCAGGGGGGCGGACAAACCTTCATGACTTCCGCCTTCTCTTTTCTAGTGGATAATAGCGGGTGGCTGCAGATTTTGGATGACATGCAGCAGACCAAGGGCAGCAGAGCCACTGAGGAAGAGAAGACCCCAGTCTGTGGTGAGTACTTCCATTCCTGGGGCTGGCTTTGTATTCCCTCCTCTTCTACTGTGTCTTCCCCAGCCTCCCCATGCTACTGACCAAGCCCTCCTGTCTCCCCCTCTTCCTCCCCTTTTGTGCTCTTTCTGCCCCCTTTCCCCTCTCATCATCCCTCTGGTTCACTCCTTTCTCTTACGCCCCTCCCTCTGCAGTGGGATAGGGTTGCCCAAAGGTTTGAACCCAGCCCTAAAGGTGGGATCCTGGGAAGTTGATAAAATTTCACCCTGGAGCCCCACCCAAAATTCAGACTGAGCTTTGTTCAGGTTTGGGGGAGTTCGACTCACCCTCCCTCACTCCCACCAGGGTGAATCAGATTTTTGGTTTTCTTGGTTCTGTCCAGGCCTGGATGTGCTGAAATACCCTGACCAAGGTTGGCCCTGCGAGATTCCCAGCCCAGGCCTGAGAAGTTCAAGAAAGCATCTCTCCCCTTCTGCTCTCCTCTCCCTTCACACACCCTCCCTCTCCTCTCATCACCTCCTCCATTCTTCCACTGCTACCGCATTGCTCTTTAGGAGTGTGTCTGCTGTCCCCTGCCTGCCCCTTTGACCCCGACATATCCAGCCAGCCCTGACCCTTCTCTGTGCACCAGTGTGTCCTTTTATCTGCTCACCTGCCCAGCCATACACTGAGATCCTGTCTGTCTCCAGTCTCACTGTTTCCTTTGTGCTTGTCCCCAGAGCTTGACCGGTTCCCAAAGGAATGCCAGTGTTGGGGAAGGACGATAGACTGCACCGGCCAGAACTTGCACACCGTCCCCTGGGTTTCCTCCAACGTGACGAAGCTGTGAGTAACAGGGGCCACCATGGGGTAAATGTGCCCCTTTCTCTGCAAAATTGGAGCCAGTAGGAAATTCGCCCTGGTGATTCCCATTTTTAGCCTGACTGTGCTGCCTCGCATCCGTCATCAAGGGGGTAGTGCCACCTAGTGGTAAGGCTGCAGAGGACGCTAGTTCCAAAGGTGACAATGCAGAGAAATGTTTGTGCCCGTTATCGTAGCAAACTGAGCCAGTGCATCATACGCAGAAGTCTGGAGAAGCTGTTAGTACCACCCCCTCAGAGCGGCCGGCTCATCGACAAGGGCATGGGGGGTGTGGGGGGGGGGAAGAGTAGCAGCACCACATTTAAAAGACTACACCCATATTCTGCAGGGCCAGCTTTGGCTGGGCAAGAGATGATGACCTTGACTTCTTCAGCCTGGCAGGGCCCTGTGTCCTCAGAGGCTGCGGCTTTTCTCATTTTAATAATCCACCATCACATCTCTTGAGCGTTCGGCTTCAGAGTCAAAGGAGCAGAGAAAACGGGAGGGTTGGGTAACCCCTTGTTTACAATTGTTCCTTAGTTAGTTATCACTGGGCCATGGTTGGCTGACTGTCAGTGCTTGTGTTACTTCATATGTGGCCCATGGAAGTCAGTGGGTATCTGTCATAGATATCACGGACCCATACTGCACTGCTTCCATTATAATGTGCTAAGTGAGCGGTGAGGAATCAAAGTGACCTTTTGCTTGCATAACGTGGGGTCTGGAAGGTTCAGAGTCCAGCATGACTATTAAATGACAGAGGGGAGAACAGCAAACAGCTTTCTGTTCTGGAAGACTCCAGCACCTTTTCTACAAGTCATTTCACTTGGGTAAACAAGATCTTTCCAGCCTGACACATAGGCGTGTTTATGATCTGAGATCACTCGGAACGCAAGAGAACAGATTTTGTTCTTTCAGGTTGGAGCCTGGCCTAGCGCCCTTGCTTGTAATAATAATAATAGTAGCGTGCTTGTCTCTAGTGCACCAGGATCTCAGAGCTGCCATTAATGATTTCCAAGCATTTGTTCTTTCATCTTCATGCCCCTCGGATGGGGAAACTGAGGCAGAGAATGCAGAAGTGACTTTCCCAAAGTTACACAGAAAGTCTGTTAGCAGGGCCAGGACTCAAACCCCCAACTCCTGACTCCCAGTCCTGTTCTTTTGTCCATAAAAACATCTTCCCCTTCACTGTGGTTCATTCCCGGTGCTGGTTTCTCACTCCCTGGGCTACTGGGGATGGGAGTGCTGTACATTGCTGTGCAACAGACGGTTTCATTTCTTAGTCCTGATCAATCTGGGGGGAGGGAGGGGAAGAGCTGCTAGCACTCTGTACTTCTGTGCAGAAGTGATACAGGTTTGATTCATTCCTGGGGACCAGGAGGGGCTGGGAGCACTATGGAAACCGTATTAACCCTGAGATATTTCTGTTCTGTTTGTAAACAGCCTCTTACAACACAACGAAATCCAGGCAATACTGCCCCATGCTTTTGCTGGACTTTCCAAGCTTAAAATGCTGTGAGTAAAAGGTTTTCATGTTGTGGGTCACAGGGGCGAGGGGGTTATTGACAGTCTCTGTGCTTCAGCCCTCTTAGCACAGAAGGAATGGAAGGGAGGGATAGCTCAGTGGTTTGAGCACTGGCCTGCTAAACCCCGGGTTGTGAGTTCAATCCTTGAGGGGGCTGTTTGGGATCTGGGGTAAATATTGGGGATTGGTGGGGGGGTGGACTAGATGACCCGCTGAGGTCCCTTCCAACCCTGATAGTCTATGATTAATGCAGTCTGAACGCACATGGTCTAGCAGCACCTCTGGAGACATGTGGCTGAACAAAATATACCTGCCATCCCCAGCAAGAACTATGTTTGAAATTACAGCACCATGTTATAGGGGAGGGAGGACTTCTGGCTCTTACAAATGTTTCTCCCTCACATTCCCCTCCCCCCATCATTCATTCCAAATCAGGCTTGCCCCTGCAAAATGCAGATGACTTGAGGATATCCCCATTCACATCCCTAAAATAAGGCTTAGGGGAGCTGCTGGGGGGAAATGGATGATGAATAAAAACCAGTTTAACCAACAGCATCAACCCAAGGTCACTTTTCTTCTCTTCTCTTTAACAATTCCAGGTTCCTGAGTCACAATAACATCACTGAGCTGAAGCCAAGAGTCTTCCAGGATCTGCGTCATCTTGAATGGCTGTAAGTGCCTCTTTCCACTGGGTGGCCCACCGGGGTCCAATGAGGAGTAAGGGGATGGAATTGAGTTTAAGGCCAGGTTTGCCTGAATATCAGGGATAATACTCGCACAGTGGGATTCATTAGGCTGGGCAATTGTCTCTCCCCACACCACAAGATTTTGTTGAGGCCAAGAGTTTAGAAAGATTCCCACATGGATTAGACCTCTATATGGATAAGGAGAACATCACGGTGATAGTAGACAGGATTAAGCATATCAGAGATATAAACCCTCCTGCAATAGGGCATAAGACAACTGGTAACCTATGGGGTTAGGAAGAAACATTTTCTCTGGGCAGGTTAATCCGTAATTGCCCACAATGGGGTTTCTTGCACCTTCTGAAGCATCCATTGCTGGCTGCTACTGGAGACAGGATACTGGCCTAGGTGGACCAAATACTGGTCTGATCAGACAGGGCAGGGTGTGTGCATGTGCATATATCAGTGTGGCTCCCCACAAAGATTTGGTGGCAGATTGGCACCCTGGACCACCGTGAGTGAGCTGCTCCTTAGGTTTTGTCTAGGCTATTTAAGGGAGAGGTTGGTTGATCATGTGACAAATTGTGAGGATGGGACTCTGAAGGGCTGGGAAGTTCTCTTTCCAGGCTGAGCTAAGCTCAGTAAGGCAGCCATCTTGCAAAGCAGATATTATTGTTCCTCTTCACTCATGACCCCTGTATGGGCACCCAGGCAGTTCTTCCTCAGGTCTGTGGTGCTGCATAGGGACCCCATACAGGGGGTCACTAGCGAAGTGGAACAATGATGTCTGCTTTGCAAGATGGCTGCCTTCCTGAGCTTAGCTCAGTCTGGAGAGAGAACTTCCCAGGCTCCCAGCCCTTCAGAGTCCCATCCTCATAATTTGCCACATGATCAACCAACCTCTCCCTTAAATAGCCTAGACAAAACCTGAGGAGCAGCTCACTCAGGGTGGTCCAATCAGCCACCAAATCTTTGGGGGAGCTGGATTTGCCCTTAACTCTCAAATTCCCCAAGTGGACTTTTAATTTATCATTTATTTTTCTAGCAAAAGAAAAAAATCCAGCAGCCCCCTGATTGTGAAAGAAACCAGATTCTGATCTCAGAGCAAGCACATCAGCCAGAACGCTCTGGGTAGAAATTCAAAGGGGTGGTCTATGTACTCATCTCCTCTGGCTTGGGCAGGGGGTGAAAATGGACAGGGGAGGGACCAGGCAGTGAAGGAGAGGAGGAAACTGATGTTACTTGGATTTCTGCTGTCAGGGAGAAAGGGAAGAAACCACCTCCTTCAGGGACAATTTAGAGCTAAATGTAAGCCTGTGAGATGGTCTCTCCTTCCTAACCTAGTAGAGCCCCAACTTTGTTCCTATGGAGTTGCCTCTCCATCTAAAGTCTGTTCTTCTGGGGCACCACCTTTCCCTCTTCTCCTTTCAGAATGCTGGATAACAACAGAATTGCCAAGATCTTCCCAGCGACTTTTGTGGGGTTGAAATCTCTGTACTTCCTGTAAGTCTGGAGCCAGTCCTCTGGGGTCTCTGGGGGTCCCACTGCCATAATGTCCTTGATGCTGCATATCTCATTCCCATCCCCTAGGCCAGTGTTTCTGAACCATTTCAGGCTGGTGATCCCTTACTTAAAGTGAACATTTTTCATGACCTCATTACATTTACTATAAAAATAAGAATGAAAAAAATGTATAACGATAACGCCAAGGCTATACAATTGATGTGTATGTTTCAAGAGGTTGACAGAATGTGTTACTCTGAAGGAAAAGGGAGTGTGGGGATCGGGAAAGCAGGATTTTCTTTGCTTGAGATAGTAATAAAAGTTTTAATGCTTTGGACTTCCCTTCCTCCCCCGAATTGTCATTTGTGAATGACTCCCTCCGCACAATGCTTGTGACTCACCGGTTGAGAAACACTGATCTACACCTGGGGTGGCCAACCTGTGGCTCCGGAGCCACATGCGGTTCTTCAGAAATTAATATGTGGCTCCTTGTATAGGCACCGACTCTGGGGCTGGAGCTATAGGTGCCAACTTTCCAATGTGCCGGGGGAGGGGGGGGTGGCTCACTGCTCAACCCCTGACACTGACACAGACCCTGCCCCCACTCCACCCCTTCCCACCCCTTCCCCTGAGCCTGCCATGCCCTCGCCCCTCTCCCACTCCCCCAGAGCCTCCTGCACACCACAAAACAGCTGATCGGGAGGTTCAGGGAGGGATGGGGAAGCATTGATCAGCAGGGATGCTGGTGGGTGGGAGGCACTGGGAGCGGGGGGTAGGGAGCTGTTGGGGGCACTGCTGACGTATAACTGTGGCTCTTTGGCAATGTACATGGGTAAACTCTGGCCCCTTCTCAGGCTGACCACCCCTGATCTATACCATTCCTTTCCCTTGCTGCACTGTATTTAAGGCCAAATCTTACACCTATTATTCTGTCCTCATGCAGGCAAATCTCCAGTGGGAGTTTTGCCTGAATAAAGATCTCAGTGTCTGGCACTTAATTATAGGCAGAGCTGCTACGGCCCCCTATACATGATGTTGCCCAACGCTTCACAGTCTATGGCCCTGTTTTCATTTTCTTACAATTTTGCCAAACTTTAGTTGTTTGTCTGACATTTTCCGTGCCAGGCATGTGCCTCAGGCTGAATGGTTTTGGGATATTTCAGCAAAAATGGTTCAATCGGAACAAGATTAGGGGGGAATGCTTTGTTTTGCTCCTGTTAAAAAAAATTCTACAGCCATTTTGTTGAGATGCTCGAGCACCTCCTTGCCCTGGAGCAGGGACTTGGCAGGGATGTGTCTTTCGTTGTTCTTGGGGAAAACTACCTACGTTTGGCCACGTTGTAAACCTTTGGAAAAATCTAAGTTCCCACCAGCTTGGCAGAGCCTTGCTAGGGTTAGGGAGCTACATTCTCTGAAACTGCTGTCTGCAGCAAGCATGCTCCAGCCAGGGCTACCCAGACTGAGCAGGCCTTTCCCTGCGATTGCTGTGGGTTGCCTGTGCAACCTGATTTTGGCCCTCCTGTATGCCTGCATTAGGATACGGTCTGCCACTACACGATCATATGCCATCATTTCCACAGGAACCCCGCACCCTACTTTGCCAGGTTTGCAGTTCAGCCTTGGCTGAAGATAGTCTTATCTATAAATTGTGGTTATCTGTGTCAGTACCCTAAAGAAAATGAGTGAAACTAAGAGCAACCACTAATATCTGTGCCATGGATGGGCTCAATGATCTGTCATCTCTGGACACAGTGGATGTGACTCCCTCCTACCGCGGGAGCCACTGGAGCGCTATCTATGACAGACAGACTGCGAGGACAGGCCTAGTGACATGTTGCACGTACTGTATTCTGCATAGATGAGTAACTGCATTTCAGGCTCAGAGGCATTAGTGACTGTCTGTGTACTAGGCACATGTACTAGGCATTAATATAGGTTTCCTTATTGCTTCCCAACCAGGTACATGCTGAACAACTCCTTGAGTAGCATGCCCAACACTTCCATTTGTGCAGAGATGCCAAAGCTCAGCTGGCTGTGAGTACCTGCCCTGGTGTGGAGGTCTGGCAAAGGCTGTGGCATTGGGTTAGCCAGAGTAATGCACAAGCATTACAACATTACTCAGTCCACCCCCGCCAATGGCATTCTTGTGAGCAGGTTGGGTGGGGGTTTTTCCAGTGCAGGCTAGGGGAGAGGAGAAGCAGCTGTGTCTCTCTTGGTATTCTGCAGGGCAGCGGGGCAGACCAGATCAGAGCAGGGGTTAGCTTGCGGTGATTTGGCTGGACTTGAAAGGGGGCGGGGGCAAGGAGGCCAGAGAGGAGAAAGCTGCAGGAGACAAGCAAAGGTGTTTTAACAGAAGGGAGGGAGGGGAAAGGGTGGATATTAGATAGGAAGCAAGGAAAGGCCAGAGTGAGAGCCTGGATCAGAGAAAGGAAACAATAAGGCTAGGGAGGTCATGAGCCTGGGAGACGAGGGGATAGTGGAATTTTTGACAGTGACGCAGAAAGCAGGACCGGAGGCTACGATCTTTGGGGTCAGTTTTCACACCCCTGCCAGGCAACTGGGGTCAGGAGCTCTGCTCTCATGGGTGGCATCGGGATAGGCTCTCTTCTGTCCAGGGGGAAATGACAATTTGTCTGGCTGAGGACATCTAGGTCGGAGGGGAATCAATAAGGTGAAGGATTGCTATCCAAGAAAACTCAACTACTGCTCTTTCTCTAGGGAGCTGGAAGGAAACCAGATCCATACTCTGAGAAGCTCAGTGTTCCAGGAATGCAGCACCTTCACTGTGCTGTGAGTACCAACCCTCCACCGGCTGAACACTAAGGTGGGGGAGGGCAGGGGGGGAGTGGGATCTAGCGTGGCTATGGAGTCACACCTTCAACCCTCACCTGCATGGGCGAAATTGCCAGGGACCCCATCTCTCAGCTGGGTCATGCATGTACAGTCACTGGAAGGGACGCTATGAATTGGGTGTAACACCAGCAATTCTGGGCCAGGTTCTCAGCTGGTATAAATCAGTGCAATTCCAATGACTTCAACAGAGCTAGGCTGCTTTGTCCCTACTGCAGCGCTTGCATCTTGAATCCATTTTATGGCACACAAGCTATGTTTATAAACAGCAACAATAGAGACAATTTCATGGTATTTTAAATATCGGTTGTACATCTGCATTTATACTTGATAATGGGGTCCAGAGATTTCACCTCTAGTTTGCTGCTTTGACATCTGCTCAGGTTAGTAATGAGCAAAAACCATTGATGGACATTTGGTGACCAACAAGACATGAGCTGGTGAGTGTCAGTCCAGTGCCTGGCTAACACCTGTCCACATCACAAACCATGGAGAGTGAGCTAGTACCCCTGGATGCAGGGCTAAGGCAGAGGGTGGTATGTGGAGACAGCTCACCTTTCTGCTGCCCACGCTGTAGGTGCCGTGTGGGTAAAGTGATTTGCTCTCCACCCAAAACCTTTCACTAGCACTAACATCCCTTTTACATTCGTCTGTTAGCCTGCCTAGCAGGTTCTCAGCCTGTTAAACACCTGCGAGTTCTTTTTTTTTGCCCTTCATTCCTAAAGCCTATTTTTGGTCAATTTAATATCTGGCCTGCAGTGTTCGTTTACAGTATCACGTTATAGCACTAGTGCTTTCCAGGAGCTCACACAGCCAAAGAATTCTCCCAGAGACGATGCAGCCCTGTCCTAGAGTCTAGTTTTCCTAAACATGATGTTGATATATTTCCCAGAAGGCTCAGCCTCTGGAGCCTGCAAGATAAGGATAATAAACTTGCATGCCATGTATATGTTATTCATATACACAAGCTACAAATTGTCCATGGGACAGTGGCATGAAAGGAAGGAATGGAATGTGCAGTCAAGCCTGTCCTCCCAAAGTGAGGGGTGATTATTATCCAGGGCACTGGATCCTTTCCCAAAGCTGTCAGATTGGAGTAGGTGAGTAAATCCAAGGCTTATCCGAACAGTAGCTGATAGTGGCTTTGGCAGGATCCCATCCTGTATCCATAGGAAGATTTCCCCATTCCCCAAGCATAGTTATGATGCTGTGTTAACAATGGTATAATCCCCAAGAAAGCTTGACGCACCCAGTTACTCACTCACCCGGAAGGGATTTGGAAGGCTTAAATAATTAATCATAGAGCCTCTGATAGTGCGGCTGATGTGATTAGGCCCTATGATGGTGTCCCCTGAATAGATATGTGGACACAGTTGGCAACGGGCTTTGTTGCAAGGATAGGTTCCTGGGTTAGTGTTTTTGTTGTATGGTGTGTGGTTGCTGGTGAGTATTTCATAGGGCCTAATCACATCAGCCACACTATCGGAGGCTCATTCACCTGCGCATCTACCAATGTGATATATGCCATCATGTGCCAGCAATGCCCCTCTGCCATGTACATTGGCCAGACTGGACAGTCTCTACGTAAAAGAATAAATGGACACAAATCAGACGTCAAGAATTATAACATTCAAAAACCAGTCGGAGAACACTTCAATCTCTTTGGTCACTCGATTACAGACCTAAAAGTGGCAATTCTTCAACAAAAAAACTTCAAAAACAGACTCCAACGAGAGACTGCTGAATTGGAATTAATTTGCAAACTAGATACAATTAATTTAGGCTTGAATAAAGACTGGGAGTGGATGGGTCATTACACAAAGTAAAACTATTTCCCCTTGTTTATTTCCCCTCCTACTGTCCTTGTAAACTGCTGGAAATGGCCCACCTTGATTATCACTACTAAAGGTTAACCCCCCCCCCCCCCCCGCCCCGGCTCTCCTGCTGGAAATAGCTCACCTTTCCTGATCACTCTCGTTACAGTGTGTATGGTAACACCCATTGTTTCATGTTCTCTGTATATATAAAATCTCCCCACTATATTTTCCACTGAATGCATCCGATGAAGTGAGCTGTAGCTCACGAAAGCTTATGCTCGAATAAATTTGTTAGTCTCTAAGGTGCCACAAGTACTCCTGTTCTTTTTACGGATCCAGACTAACACGGCTGCTACGCTGATTCCAATTGATGCATTTCATCCTCGAGTGATCCCAGGTGTTTCCAAATGCCTCAGCCCAGGGGACTGGACTAGATGAGCTCTCGAGGTCCCGCCAGCCCTACATTTCTATGAGTCTATGAAACCTTGTAATTCTGAGCTTCCCCAGACCCCCTGGGAACAAGCCTGCCGCTGATGGAGTATCGGCAGCACAGTCCAGAACTCAATACCCAGGAGTTCCTGCTCTCTCTGGGTATGGTGCCCGGACTCTGCCCCTGTATGCTCCTACCCCCTCTAGAGCTGGGGTTCAGCTCCCTGCAACTGAGGAAATGTCTACACGGCAACTAGACACCCGTGGCTGGCCCATGCCAGCTGACTTGGGCTCACGTGGCTCGGGCTAAGGGATTGTTTAATTTCAGTGTAGCCATTCGGTTGGCGCATGGTCTCTAGGACCCTGTGAAGTGGGAGGGTCCAAGAAGAGCCTAAACATCTACACTGAAATTAAACAGTCCCTTAGCCCAGCCTTGCCAGCCCCTGAAACAGGCCAGCGGGGGTGTTTGCTTGCAGTGTAGACGTACCTGAAGTGAGCCTGATGGCTTTGTAGCGTGTGGGCATTGTGGGAACCGCAAAGCAGGGAGCAGTACAGTCTTCACTGAAGTAGCAGCCTTACAGCATTTCACTTTCCTTGCTGGGCTCCGGCCCGTCTTTGGCATGCAGCTTTGGAGCAGGGCGCTTCAGACTTCCCTGCCCTCTATAACCCATTTGTGGGGACTGCCAACACTGATTACTCCCAGGGAAAGTAAGAAGTGAGCAGCCATTAACAAAGGGACTGAGACAGAGACTCGTGCGTGTGTCGCATGGGGGCTGGATTGCAGACTGAAGACACGTTTGTATTTTGCAGTGATTTCCAGGGGACGCTGTCAATGATCCACCCTCAGCTCCCCCTTGGTACCTTCTCAAAGGAATGAATGCTTTGGAAGGACCTATTTTCAGCCACAGAAAGCTGGGTACAGCTCCTTGAACCAGCCTGTATGGGTCACAGAGGAGGCTATGAGACATTTTATCCCAAGAGGCTGAGCCCTGTGTTCCCTTAGCAAGAACTCTCCCTGTCCCATGCTGCCAAAGATGGGAGGAGAGTGAGTGGCTCCCTCCCCACAATGCAATGCTTCCTTCAAGCCAAGCAGCCAAGCACTTTTGGCTTTGATCAGGAATGTGTTTCTAAGAACAGTTATGTCAGCGTCATGGAAACATAAGCCGGGGCAAGACGGGAGCATAAACACGCCCTGCCATTGACACCAGCACAAGTGACAGCTTTATGAGGAGATGAAACAGACAAGAAGAGGCTAATATGTGGGGTAGTGTGAGACAGCGGGAAGAACCTCCCCAGCCCAGCGCTCCTTCCCTCACTCCGTCTTCTCTCTGCGACTATCCCAGCCTAGCCTAGGTCTGGTGATAGTGAGGATCTGACAACTAAGCATTTGAGGGTGGATATTCCTATATTAAATATTTGGCAAGGACTTGAGCCTCTCTCAGTGCAGCATTCCCATTCACTCCCCCACAATTAGGGCAGCCACAGCCTGGCTGGAGAATATCACACACACACACACACACACACACACTCTCTCTCTCACTCTCACTCACTCACTCCATCCAGGGCAGGACCTCCTGTACCACAACTCCCAACCTGGGGAGCTGAGCGCCATAGTTCAGCTAGTAAAAGGAGTAGCTGATATATAGGTTTGAGGGGTCTAGAAATATCCTCCATGTGGCAGGGGCAGCAGTTCCACTTCCTCGCCAGAGCCATGAACGAATGTTCAGGGCTTCAGGAAGTTGTCTGAGCATGTCGTGCAGTTATATCCCTCCCTTGATTTTTCACTGAGGGCCTAGGGGTCAAATCCAGAGATTGCACTGAAACTCCCTCCAAACTGCCACCTCATTAAGTGACACAATGTGGGGCTGCACTGGAAAAACCATGGTTCATTCAATACTGGATACAGATGGTCATACCAAAGGTGCCCAAATCGCAGACAACGAACCCTCCTGAGTTCTGAATTTGTCTTGGAGCCAGCTGAACTTTGTGTAGTGTTGGGTTGCACTGTCAGCTCTGTTTGGTTTACATTCATTGCATCTCTCTCTCTCTCTGGCTACCCAAATGGTCTCTGACAGAGTCTCCCCAGCTCAGGCTGGAGGTTCTGACAGATTCTTATGGACTCATCTGATTCTGTGTTTAGTTGTGAGCTGTCCCTGAACCCCACAGTTCAACCCTGGAGCTGCTCTTCCCCAAATATAAGTGTTTGGATGTGGAGTTTGGGGCCATGTGAGTGTATCAGTGGGACTGTCACAAGTTTAGCAGTAAACACGTGCTATGTAAGAAATAGAGCAGGCCTGGGTGCGTGGCCTCAAACAAGCCTCTCAGAATTCCAATGTTAAGATCTCCTTCATGCCATGCTCAGTTCTAAGGTCATCAGAGTCCCCGGAAGTAACTGGGAAATGAAAGGCTGCTTTTCAATAGAGCTTCTCTCTCCTCCGTCAGGATTCTGCGCAGAAACAAGATCAAATGGATCCAGGAAGGGGCGTTTTCCAAACTGAACAGACTGGTGGAGCTGTAAGTCTCACTGTTGATTTGCCCAGCTGCAGTGCCCCTCCCCCACCTCTCGTGATCAACGGCATGTCAGTGGTTGTTGTGATTGTGTCACTGTCTTGACTGTGATCATTTGCTCATGATCCTGTGCGGGAATCTATTCTTCTTCCCTTAGTGAATAGTTTCCTGACACTTGATGTGCTTGGCTGCTCCACCTACAGGTAGCTTTTAATAACCTCTACATCTATTTGATGCTTATGAAAGTGGAACGCTGATGTTGCTAGATATAGTGCTGGTAGGTGGGTCCAAGCTTCCCCTTCTCCCAGCTCTGCACCCTTTCCTGTTCCTGTCCTGCACTCCCACACAGGCTGGGCAATATCAGCATGTTCATAAGTGATCTGGAAAATGAGGTGCAAAATTTGCAGATGATACAAAATTACTCAAGATAGTTAAATCTAGGAAGAATTCCAAAGGGATCTCTCACCCCATCTCAAAAAATGTATTGGAAAGACTTTGGAAAAAATACAGTGAAGGGCAACAAAAATGATGAGGGGTATGGAACGGCTTCCGTATGAGGAGAGATTTAAAAGACTGGGACTTTTCAACTTAGAAAAGAGACAGTTAAGGGAGGGAGACAACAGAGGGCTATAAAATCATGACTGGTGTGGAGAAAGTGACTAAGGAAGTGTTATTTACCCCTTCACATAACACAAGCACCAGGATCACCCAATTAAATTAATAGGCAACAGGTTTCTAACAAACATAAGGAAGTATTTCTTCACACAACACACAGTCAGCCTGTGGAACTTGTTGCCAGGGAATGTTGTGAAGGCCCAAAGTATAACTGGGTGGAAAAAAAGAATTCGATAAATTCATGGAGGATAGGTCCATCAATGGCTATTAGGCAAAATTATCAGTGATGCAGTCCAATGCTCTGGGTGTCATTAAGTCTCTGCCAAAAGAGGGGACTGTATGACAGAGGATGGATCACTTGCTAATTTCCCTCTTCTGTTCATTCCGTCTGCAGAATCTGGCACTGGGCCCTGTTGGAAGACAGGATACTGGGCTAGATGGACCATTGGTCTGACCCAGGATGGCCGTTCTTATGTTATGTTCTAATGCACCACAAGCATAACCAGCAGCACTGCCTGCTATTCCAGTCCTGGGGTCCCCCCTTAGCTCTGCCAAGCACCTCTGCCCTAATCTGCATGCCTTCTGCTACGCTTCACCTGCCCCCAATCCTGCCCATTTACACAGAACTCTGCAAGCACCTTAACATGCACAGACCTGCAACGTTCTAGTTACTCCAGCTCTGAGCCATTCTTGGGACTATCATTTGCTACCCAGTTGTAACAGTTTTATGATGTGTGCATATAGTGCCCCCCCGAACCCCAGCAACCAGCTGTCTGAAATCTTGCTTCTGTTTACACAGTGACCTGTCTAACAATAGACTGGAGGAACTTCCGCCATCTTTATTCAGTAACCTGCAAGACCTCCAGCAGCTGTGAGTACTGTATTGGAGCTTCCCAAGCCTTAAACTGAGCTGACCCTCTGGCATTTGTTACTATAAAGGGTCTTCAAGGGGTACCATAGGGAGCAGCATAGGCAGCCAGCTGTCCATGAGGGGTGCTCAGAGTGCAGCTGTAGGGGGAGCACCTGGCTCAGGGAATTGTTAATGGGCTGTGACCAGAGTCCCAGTGGGGGCCAGCTGTGGTCACTCAATTAGGGTGAACTACAAAGAATGGGGCAGCCAAACCCCAAAAAGCTGGTGGATAGTCCAATACTTAGATTTACCAAGCCAGCCTAAAACAGCTTCTTTATTACCTCACTGGTTACTCAGAAGTCCAAACAACACAGTTCCCTTAAAGTGATCCAGCCTTAGGCCTCCATCCAGGCACCCACGTCAAATATGATGAAAATTTCTGTAAATCTTATTTCATCATATAAAAGAAAAGGTTCTACCAATCCCAAAGGATCGGACACATTACCTCCCAGGCTAATGAATATTCCAGATCTTACCCAAATACACACTACAGCCGATTCTTATTAACTAGACTAAAATTTATTAAAAAACAAACCAGAGAGCGAGAATGGTAAAAAGATCAGTATACATACAGACATGAGTTCAATTCATTGAGGTTCAGATTCATAGCAGGATGGTGAGCTTTGTAGCTGCAAAGAGTTCTTTCAGAAATAGTTCATAGGTTATAGTCCAAAGTCACTGCAGGATGTTCCAGTTTAAGACTGGGATCTCAATCCTTTTGCCTAAGCTCCCCCTGTATGAAGCCTCAAGCAAATCTGAGATGAAAGAATCAGGACCCAAGAGTCTTTTATACAATTTCATGTCCTCTTTGACAAGTTGGGAGTTCCTTGGGGAACAAAAGATAATTAGGATGACTTTGAAGGAAGTTCATCACTGGTACTTAGCTAGGGAATTAACATAAGGCAATTTGCTTGTTTCTCCACCATTCACAGTACATTTCAAAGAGTGATGAATACTGAGATATCCCGTGTTTACAATTCATTTAAATGCTAGGATGTTCTTTTGATTCAGAATACAGCATAGACAGGGACTGTTGATTACATTCTGGACCCTATTCATACATATGTAAATACACAAAACCACAAACATTATCTCCCCATATGTCTTTTGAGGGTTATTTGTTTTGCAGGATGTTTAACCCTTTCTGGCCATGCCTCACAGGTGCTAACCAACCTTTTGCTTCTGAGTCACTGCGTCAAATCCAACCCAGATAAGTGACACCCGCGATAGCGGCCAGTTGTTGGTTGGCCTAATTGAAAGGAACCAGTGGTCTGGGCCCACAGCACTGCTAGGCCCTGTTCTGGCAGCTTCAGCAGAGGAACAATAACAGTATGCAGCTCTTATCTTGTGCTGTTCATCAGTCCATTAGACTGCTCTGCCTTCCAAGGCACAGTGCATTCCCTCATACTTGCAGGTGGTCTCCCTAGGTTGACCATGACAGTGGCAGCCAGTATGTAACAGCTGGTATGTTACTGTTTCAAGGGAGGCAGGGGAGTCTGAGGCCAGGGGAAGGTCTGCCATGGGTTTGCTCCTCGTGTGGCCTTGGTTTATGTGTTCCCAGTTAATAGTTTGCAGCTAAGGCATAGAACCAGACTGAACACGTTCGGGTTCAAGCCTCCAGGGCAGTTACAGATTTAGTGAAGAACTGTGACTGACCCAGTGGGGGATAGAATCAAAATAAAATAATCAGTTCAAACCAACAGCCATTACACTATAACCTCACACTGCAGTGGTCCCCGCAGTCCAAGATGAACTGGTGCGTCGCATGGGGTGGGGAGGTCTCACTCCCTGCATGAGAAGAAGGGGTGTATAATCCTTTCTCTAATGGTACCTTGATGGTGGATGAGCATGCTAACCTAAAAGCAGAGCACTACCCTTTTATAATCAATTATACGAACACCCCGTAATCAATTAGCATTAAGCCTCCCTTTTACCATATCTATATTTCTGCTGCCATAATTAAATATTTTTATTTTCTTATTGGTGATTTAACACTAAACATCATTTTAATTAACATCTGCGTAAATACCACTCTGATAACTATCAATACAGATAACATGCTGCCAACACATTCACATTTTGTCTAAACCACTTGTTAAAACCAAAATATGTTTACAACATGACCTGAGGTTATATCCTAGCTTATCTCTAACTTGTCTCTGAATTGTCTCACTTCCCTCATATATTACTAGGCCTTATTATTACCAAGCCAAAATTTAGGCCCACAAACTGCTCTCTACTCACATTTCAGCATATTTCTATTTAACATAAGCAAGCATCATCTCTATGGGCTGCACTGGGGAGATCTCTGCTTTCAGGTAGTGTGGGGCGTTTCTAGGAAGAAAGACTCTGTTTTTTCCATTTGCAGGAATATTTCCTACAACCCCCTGAGGCAGATCTTTGCCAACCAATTTGACAGCCTGCCCCACCTGCGCTCTCTGTAAGTGTGAACAGCAGCACAGACACTGAATAGCTCTGCCTCCCCTCAGGCCCCTTGAGCCTGTCGCCTCAGGCCAGGTGGAGAGCCAACCTAGCTCATGTCTTCTGTTGCATTGATTTTTACAGGAGTATTGAAGGTCTGGAGATCCCCAATGTCCAGACCCGCATGTTCCAGAAACTCACCAATCTGTCTCACATGTGAGTACTTGGGAGTGGGGAAAAGGATTGGGAGGGGGAGCTTCTGTTGCAGTGGTAGAAGTTAGTGCCAGGAAAAATTAAACAACCCCTGCTCAATCCTCGGTTGATATGTCCTTCTGCCATGACCAGAAAACAGCTGGATCTCCCCAGATAGATATTTCTATGGCACCCCACACAGAGGGTGTGCCAGGATCAAGACACTGCTTTCTGGGAATCCCTAGCTGGCAGAAAGGCCTCTGGAGGGTCATAGCCAACAAGGCTTAGTTTAGAGCAGCCACAGTCTGTGTGCCAAGAGAGATGGGGGAACAAGTTCCAGGTCTGGGGACACACAAATGCCACAATATTTAAAGGTGTTTTATCCAGCATTAATCCGTGTGTGTGTTTGTGTAATGATGTGTAGCTGTGAAGGTTATAGAGTTAGATTATAGTTGACAGTGAAACTGAAAAAGGGATGTTTTCAGGCCAGATAGTATAAAGCTGTTGTTTAGTTCTCTGCAAACAACTGCTAAATAACCCAAATGAGTGGTCCTTTTGGCACACTGCTTGGGCATAAGGAGTTAAGAACAAGACTGATGTATTGATACACAAACTGGACAGGCATCTTGGAAAATGGGGGCAAATTTCACTAACCAGCCAGCTGTGAGCTGCTTTGTCTTTTCTTGCAGAGAACAAAGCAGTTAGTTTTCTCCAATTATAAATGTTTAAGCATACACAGTGCAAGGTAACTGTACATTTCACTTTCTGTCATTGCTCTGTTTCGATTAAAAACCTGGGTAATGTTAATGAGCAATAGCAAAGGACATCATTTTCTCCCCCCTTTAAGTGTAAAATTAGAACTGAAATGAGCCTTGCTTTGAAGTTTGCCGTCCTTTTAAAATGCAGAGTTTTGCTAAGCTGATATAGGATTACTTTTATGAGGTTTTAAAAGACAGGATTTATATGAAATAACCCTTGGATAAAATGTGAATCCCTGTTACTGGAATTTTAAAGGTTTTAATGATGTATTGATTTTGAAATGTTGTATGTTGATAGAGGTCCTGAGTTGGAGTGAATCTCTGTACACATTAGTTTAAAGTACTGAATAGTTATTGATTAAAATGCATCATTACATAGTACATGATTCAACAAAGCACTTAGGTACATGCTTAAAGTTCTGCAGATGCCTAAGTGCATTGCATGGTGAGGGCGATTGCTTACACGTTGACCTTGCATTTTGGGATAAAAAGCAGTTGTGATCTTGTACGAACGTGGGCATCCCAAACAAGGAAATTGGCCCATGGGTGGTGCAGAGCCATCACTCCCCCTTAAGGGATGGCCTGCGATTTTCAACCCCATCCTTGATCCTGAGGGGATTCAGTGCTCGTGAGCCTAAAGGGCTGTATATGCTGGCTAGAGCCTTGCAAAGTCCTTGGTGCTCATCCATCGCGAGCTCTGCTGACACGTTCCCAGCTCCTGCCCTGTTCCCCTCGCCCATGCTGGCACATCTCACTCGGTGTTTAGACATTTATGATCCGTTTAGATTGAATCTGCTCCAAGGAGATGAAAAGAGTGGCTCAGGAAATGGAAGGAGAAGGGCATGGAGACTGTTTGGGAGAGATGAGGTGGGGAGAGGAAAGAGGAGCACAAGGGGATGAGATTGGGGAGGTGCATGAGGCTCTGTGCCAGGCGGGCAACCCTCTTCCCAAGTTAGCCTCTCGGGACGGAGCCCCTGGCCTGGGCGTGGACCTAAGGCAGGCCGTATCCCTTTGTCTGGCAGCTACTTTAAGAAGTTCCAATACTGCAGCTACTCTCCGCACGTGCGCAGCTGCAAGCCCAACACCGATGGCATCTCCTCCTTCGAGAACCTCCTGGCCAACATCATCCTCAGGGTCTTCGTCTGGGTCATCGCATGTGTCACCTGCTTTGGGAACCTCTTTGTCATCTTCATGAGGTCCTTCGTTGTCATGGAGAACAGCCAGCACACCATGGCCATCAAATCACTCTGCTGTGAGTCAGGAGTGGGGATGGAGGGGCTGGCTAGGATGATGTCAGGCAAGAGCGTGTGTCCGTGCGTGCGTCCGTGTGTCCGTCCATCCGTCCAAGGGCAACATTTGGCCTTCTGTTAACAGCAGCTGTATAAGGGCTTATTGCGCCTATGGGCCTGTTGCCAAGGGTTACCCTCGTGGGTTGATGCTCCACCATTGTCTCCGTCCCAGGTGCAGATTGTCTGATGGGAATCTATCTCTTCTTCATTGGAGCCTTTGATCTCAAGTTCTCCGGCGAGTACAACAAGCACGCCCAGGTGTGGATGGCAAGCATCCAGTGCCAGCTGGTAGGCAGCCTGGCTATGCTGTCCTCGGAGGTGTCTGTGCTGCTGCTGACGTACATGACCCTGGAGAAGTACCTCTGCATCGTCTTCCCATTCAGCCATTATGGGGCGGGCAAGAAGCAGACCCTCTCCATGCTGGTCGTCATCTGGTTGTTGGGCTTTTCTCTCACCCTTGTCCCCTTCTGGTGCAAGGAGTCCTTTGGGGACTACTACGGGAGGAACGGGATGTGTTTCCCACTCCAGTCTGACGAGACGGAGAGACCAGGAGCCAGGGGCTACTCCACCGGGATATTTCTGGGTAAGGAATCATCAGGACATGGGGCATGACTGCTCCGCTACAGCAGCACCACCAAGCCTTGGGGATGATAGGCACCATGCAGCTGTAGACAGGGGTCTGGAACTTGCTTTCCCTGATGTGTGCTCTGCCCCAGAGTCAAACAGGAAAGTCAGCGTAATGAAAAGGTGCAGTGAGAGGCAGGATGGTCCAGTGGGCCCGGTGCTAGCTTGGGACACACAAGGTCAATTTTTTTGCTGCACCACAGGGGCCTGTGTGACCTTGGGCAAATTGCTTAGTCTCTCTGTGCCTCTGTTCCCCATCTCCAACGGGGATACCACACCTCACAGGGCTGCTGTGAGGATAAATGCATTACAGCAGGAGATGCTCAGGCCCTGCAGTGATAGGGGCCGCAGCAGGACAGCTGATGGTGATTGGTCACATGATTCCATCAACAGGCTGCTGCTTGTTGTTATCATCTGGCTCAGTTCAATCTGCAACCTGGGTGCCAGGGGCTGAAATAGGGTTGATCCCGCACAGCTAAGGAAAGCAGCAGCCCTAGGTGTGTGGGGAAGGGAGGGCAGATAGGATGCTGTTGCTGTTGCTAGAGATGAAGGGATAGTGGGGGAGAGCAATCAGCAAACTAGCCCCTTAAGGAACATTGCTGCCAGGGGACCAGGGAAGTTTGCCCCTTAGGGCTGGTAGCATGTTGGCCCCGGTACACACCCGAAGGCTGACGAGAAACATTATGCAAAACGTTGGATTTTTTTTGACCTTCCCTCTTGACCCCTTCGTGGTCCCACAAGGCCCCCAAGCCTGGTGCATTTCCATGCTCTCCGTGGGAGGGGTGGTGTAAGGAAAGGCACGGCACACATCCATGCCTGTGGCAGCAGAGCTGAGGGTGTGCAGCCATGCAGTGCCAGCGTCAGGGAGATGCTGAGTATCGCTGTGTAGATCCAGGAGCTTTAAGGCAGACCCAGGCTGCTGTTATAAATCACTGCTCACCTGCTTGTTACTGCAGTAGAGGGAAAGTGGCTTAACAAACCTCCTGCCACTCCACAGGCCCGAGGCCACCTCCAGCCAAAGCACTCCTGGGAGAGCAGGGCCAGACTCAGACCCTAGGAGACCAGGGTCTCATGCACGCAAGGGCTAGAAGATTAGCATGGTGCAGACACATCTGAGGAGCAGGTGGGGCAATGAGTCCTAGCCAGGCAGCAGGACGCCCGCAGCGCTGCTGCCCTTGAGTGCTTCACCAAAGCTTGCCTGTTATGTTAGCGGGGCAGAAGCTTACTGTTTAATCACATTACGGCTCAGGTTGGCTGTGTCCACGTGGCTCTCACTGCTGCCTTGGGGAAGAAAGGGGTCAGTGGCCCTAAGAGGCTGCTTTATTAGAAGGGCTGGCTCGCTGACACACTCATAGCTGGTTGTCGTCCCCCCTCCCCCACCCCAGGTCTGAACCTCATTGCCTTCGTCACCATCGTGTTCGCCTACACCAGCATGTTCTACTCCATCCACACCACAGCCACCAAGACGGCTGAGCGCAGTGTCTTCTCCAGGGAAGTGGCCATCGCCAAGAGATTCTTCTTCATCGTCTTCACTGACGCCCTCTGCTGGATCCCCATCTTCCTCCTGAAGCTTCTCTCCCTGCTGCAAGTGGAAATACCAGGTGACTGACCTGGCTAAGCCGGGGCCCACGCCAGCCTCAGCCTTTCTGTACAGAGAGGCCTTGATATGCAGAGCAGTGCCATGTGGTGGCTCCCTGCATGTGTCCCTCATGCACTGAGTAGGCACCCCAGAGCACCTGCCTTATAATGAAGCTGTACAACAAATGCCATGCTAATCCTGGCCTCTTACCGGTTTCATACTACCCCATCTTGCCAATGCAATCCCCCCTGCTTACAGCAGGGGGCACCTCATTAGGCCCAAAATCTGTGCAGAGCTGGCCTGCAGCTTCTGACACCCATGCTCAAAATGCTCCAACCCTGAGAGGTAAAAGCTGAGAGACGAAAGCCAGACAAACTCACGTCACTTCTGTCTCTTGGCCCCCTGCTGAGCCCAGGCAGCACCTTCCATCTCCTGTTAGTTGACAGCCTCTTGCCACCAGCCTCATCTTCCCATACAGAGATGCCCTGGAGTCTAGGCAGGTTCCTCTCCAGTTCTGGCCTGCCAGTGCATTGGAGCTGGCTCCCAGCCTGCAGCTCAGAGAGGCTGGGGCTGGGGAAGCAGAGGTTCAGTCTCTAGGCCCAGGTCTGTGGTGGGTAGGGGCAGCCTCCTGTGATGTGGGGAGTTGAGTCTGCTTTCTCATGGCTGAATTTGATTGCAGATATGCTGGGGATGGGGCAAGCTAGGTAAAGGTGAGAGAGAGAGAGTATGCGATGGCGGCGGGGCGGGGGGGGGGAGGGAACAGAGTGGGAGCAGTTGATCTCACTGACCTCCTTTAGTGGCTTTTCCTGCCATGCACACTCCCAGCTCAGTGTGCAAGGCACACCTGGTTTGCACCCCTGCTGAACACCAGATAGGTGGAAGTTACATCAGCACTTGCTTTGTGATCAAAGTACACCCAGTGTGTTACTTTCTCTGCCATGTGTCACCGCTGAATTCAGCCCAGAGATGGGAGTTGCACTCGCCCTAGATCCTTAGCTCTCCCCCATTATGCCTGAGTAATTCAGCCCCTTGCTGTAAATGTCCTTTAGCTGAGAGCCTCTTATTGCACAATGGGGTGACGTGTCTATAAATGATCCTCCTCAGTGTGTAATGTGTTCAGTGCTAGAGGTGTCCGAGCAGGTTAATGCATTTTTCTTTGAGCTTTGGCGCCCTGGGTTTGAATCCCAGCTCAGCTCACAGGTGGTAATGAGTTTGGTGCCTCTCCCATCCTGGTCCCTGTTTGCTCACATCACAAAACCGCAGCCTGCAGACCGGCTAGAGAGGCTGTGCATTGTCAGCTACCACTCATGCCTGGGGAGAGCCAGCCTCTGCACTCACGTAGGTGTGAGATCTGGAGTAGCTCTGACTTAAATGGGGTTCTTCTGGCTTTATGCCTGTGTGTCTGAGAGCAGACTGTGGCCCTGAGGCTCCAGGCTAAAAGCCTCTGGCTGAATTATTTCCTAGGAAGTGGGCAACCAACCCCCATGATTACTAACATACTCTCCTTATTGGAACAGACACCGTGACGTCTTGGGTGGTCATTTTCATCCTGCCCATCAACAGTGCCTTGAACCCCATTCTGTACACCATGACCACCACCCCCTTCCAGGAGAAGCTCAAGCTGTATTTGCAGAAGAAGCAGCTGCAGCAGTTGTCACTTCAGGACCCAGAAGAGTCCAGAAAGAGCTTTACCCTGGTATCCATACACACCAGCAGCTCCTGACAGTCCCCAGCAGCTTAGCCTGGGATTGGTGAAAGGCCTCTCTGCTTCATGCATGTAGCTATGAAGGACCATGTCTCTGTCTTCCCCAGGAGCCTCCCCTGGCTGGTTCATTGCCCGCCCCAATTATAGCCATCGTGGGGGCAGAAGATGCCAAAGGGGAGCTGCTACCACTTTCCAACTGGTGTTATATAGAGAGCTACAGACGAAATGGTCACAGACAGCAGATGGGGCCTGAACTCCGCTCGTGTGCCCCACGGTTGAAAGCACTGGAATGCTGCCTGCCCCATGCAGGCTCATTGCTGTGCGTCAGCACTTTGGGGCTGTGGGTTTAGCTGATGCTGGTTCAGCACAAGGATTAACCAGCTGCTGTGAAAGGGATGTTGTATTTCATCCTAACCCTCTGCCTCTGTTGCATGGTCCTTGTAGCTCCCTGCCCCTTCGCCCTGGAGAGAAGCCGCAGGGGCAGCTGCTGCAGCAGCCTTTGGAACCGCTGCCCCCACTGCAGAGCCCCAGGGAGGTGTTTTCTGCATTGCCGGAAGCAAGTCTGGGTCCAGGGGAAGGAAGGTGGGATGAGAAGCCTTCAGCGCTTTGATTTGGGGCCAGAGGCAGCTCGAGCAGATGCCAGCGTGATCCTGGCGAAAGTTGTGGGCCACTGGTTCTGCCACGTGGAGTGATGAACTATTGAGGCTGCCCTCAGCCCTTGGGGAAGCCTTGGCTGTGGGACCCAGGCAGCAGCTGCTATTGTGGGTGAAATGCTGCACAAGGAAAGGAAGGTGGTGCTGTCCCCTGATACTTCCTACACCACCCTGACCGCTAGGCCCGTGTTCAGGGCAGGTGTCCCCATTCAGGGCCTGCTACCCCAGCCACTACGTTCAGCAGGGACTCACGGCCACGCCCTGTTCTCCAGTCATACCTGGGCTCGCACCTTTAGAAAATGAATCCTTGCAACTGAGGCACCAACTCCCCAGGGCTAATGCAGCCTGTGCCCCAAACCATTCCTAGGGAACTGCTGCCAGCAGTAAAATAGCAACCTGGGGGGCCGGTTGGTGTTCCTTCCCTAGCCTCTGCTGCTCTCTGATTTACTCCTGGGAAGGAGGCAAGAATTGCCCTTCTCCAGGGGGTGGCTGGGCTCTGCCTTGGCAATAGCAGTTCTGTCTCCCTGCCATACGCTGCGTGGGCTGGCTAGCCCCACCCCCAATCCCAGGTGAGAATAACCTGGCAGGGCGTACCACCCCGAGCTCCACTGGTGGCCAAGAGCCAGTGGAGTTTGTTTCAGCCACCCCCAGGGCCGGAGTTACTGACGTCCCCTGTTTGCTTTTGGAATGATCCCAGCGCTGGAGCAGCAGGCTCTTGGGGCACGGCTCGCTCTGCGGTGGGGCGGGGAGAAGGAACAGAGCAAGGGATTGAAAGTTAACAGCTCTCAGCTCGCTGGGGTTCTCTTTGGGCACAGCCTTAGGACCACAGCATGCTGCACATTGTGACTATGGCCTGGAATCCCAAGGGAGCCACCTCCATGTGCGTTACCCCCTGCACTGGGGTGTGTGAGGTGCACAGAACGGCGAACAGGAGAGACGGGCAGTGCTTCTACTCTCAGGGAACCCAGAAACCGTCTGCCCTAGTTTTGCATGTTGGATGCCACAGCTCCTTTGGGAGGAGCTAGCATCTGGTTGAAGCCAAGGCACTTGCAGCTGCAGGGTAGGAGCCCTGGGCAGGTGACCAGGTAGATACCAAGTGCTGGTAGCAGGGAGGAGGAAAGAAAAGGGGATCGGGGAGAGTGCATCAGAAATGCTGCTTAATGACACTGTGATTCTTCTGGAGGGCTATGTTTGTACACATCTTGTGCTAAGCGATGGGGGCAGCTGGTAGCTGTGGACAACACTGCAGGGCTCCAGGTAGGCTACAAACCCAGAGGGTACCATTCTGTGAGCTCGATGAAACTCTGCATTAGCTACCAAGAACAGTGGGGCTTTGAGAGAATGAGATTAACACATGGAGGCCTTAAATTGACAGGCCGACCCACCCCTTGAGGCATGGATATGACCATTTAATGCACTGCTTGCCGGTCTGTCCTCCGCCCCTAACTCCTTTCAGCCCTCCTGTGAGGCCAGCAGTTCAGATAACACCAGCCTCGTTCCTGGTAGCATACTGGCAGCCTGGGCCCAGAAGGAATTTCCATTGCTTAGCAAACACACTGCCTACTCCGTCAGTCCACCCTAGGGTCCTTGCTGTCTCAGTTGGTGCTGATCAGAGCCTGATGCTGAGCCAGGCAGGGAATCTGGAGGAAGGACAGCCCAGCCCCTGCCAGCAGCTCAGAGGAATAGAAAGGAGGGCTGGCCATTTGTACTCTGGGGCCAGAGGGAAAGTCAACGGGGAAAATCAGATTGTTTGGGAGCAACGGGAAGGGTCCTCTGATAGGTGTGAAGCTAACTTGTGTGAGACCCATAGCAACTGCCCCCCAACTGCAGCAATAATAATAATAATAGCCCTTGTCCATTTCTTTTTGCCTGCCACATGCTTTACAAAACACTAATGAATTACACACTGCGCCTCATTCTGTCATGACACGGGGCTGTGGTCAGGTGGCTTCAAACCCCCGCTCTACAGCCCTGGAACCTGTGTCAGACTGGTGCTGGGTAAGAAGGAAGCACAGACCTCAGCAGTAAGGGTCCATCAAGGTTTCATCATCAGCCAGCGGATGCCATTAGTACTTTATTATTACACGGCGGGGAAACCGCTGCCCCCTTTGAAGTCAGACAATCTGCAGCGGCTGCATCTGATACAAAAAAGAAGTCCCTTAAATAGAAAACACAAATCGCTCTGGTGTTCAACATCTAGCACCAAGCTCTTACCGCCTGAGTTATATATTAATATTCCAACTGTACAGTATTTATAGATAGAAAAAGAAACATAAAAAAATGAGGCAAGAATCAGTCCCAAACGTTAGTTATACAAAACCAAACACAAACAGAATATAGCTGGTGTGCACTAGGAAGAGGGAAAGTTTGTTACTGGGGAAACGGACAATTTCTACTGCCAGTGGGTTTTGTTGCCTTCCAATTGGAACAATGTCCAGTTGTTTGGGTCTCTGGTTAAAAAAGAAACCCCGTCAAGTGCATGTCATGGTCAGATTGTTTTTGAGCTTGGAGGGAAAGTGGGGGAGTGACACAATCACAGAAGTGGGATCCTTGGATCAAGAGTTATGGCGTTGCCTTTCCCCCCCCTCTGCAGTGCAGCCAGCACTGCTTCTCTGGGGGGAGGGAATTAAGGGGAGATCAAGTGTCCATAACAATATGAGCAAACTAGACTGTACTAACCCAATCCCTGCCCATCTGGTTGACTAAAATGGCACTAATGTAGAATAGTTTGGGGCAACTCACATTACTCTCTTAGTGGAAGCAGACTCTGCACAGTGGAGTTATGAGACCAGGCCCCCTGCACTCCCTCTGGTCACACCTCATTGGCCAACGCTATTAAACCTCCCCTGCATGCAGGCTATAGTTTGCCAGCAGGATGATACATTTTTAGGGTGTCTTCATGTAATGGAGGGGGTGTTCTTCACCTCCCCCACACCCCAAGGCAAATGGAACTCTGACCCTCGGAGTACCTTGATGCTTACTAAACCCAGCCAAAGGGGGATCAGGGAGCTGCACTGTGCCATTTTGGTCTCACCCCCAGCCTTGTAATGGCAACCCTCCATGTACAGCTGACACACAGATACAAGGACAAGGGTGTATGCTTTGGAATTTGGACTCATCAAACTCGGATCTGATCCAATTCATTAAAATGAATGGCTAAGCTCCCACTGGATTCAATGGGGATTAGGACTGGGCCCCTGGTTAGCAAAGCATTTGCACCCTCATTCATCGGTCCACATGGCCCTGTTCTAAAAACAGGGGTGCTAGAGATTCCCTGTGTCTGATCAAGTAGAAAGCACTGACCTGGAGTTCCTTCCCCAGTGAAATTCAGCACCCAGAGTAAAATAGCTTCCTTTTTGCCATTCAACACATGGCAGTCATTAATTATAAACCAAAATAACAACAGCATCCATCTGACATTAACCAGCTCCTCAGACTACGATTGCCTGTGCGCCACGCTGCTAGGTACAGCTCACACACACTGTAACATCCCCAGCAGATGCTCCTCCTAACACCACACCCGGCCATACAGACACTGCACCAGCTCCGCCGTCTCTCACTTCTCCTACACATCAGCATCATCCTTGGTCACTTCAAGCACCATCACTCTTGTGGCTGAGTCCAGCACCTGGGCTGAGCGGGTGAGCCCATGGTCAGTTTGGCAAAGGGGGTTAATGGGTCTGACTCTGGTCCAGTTGCTCAGCCTGCTGTATGGACTCCCCAGCCCCACTCTCCCCAGGGTGGGCGGGCGATTGCTGGAGAGAGCTGTCCCACAAGCAGCACACTGGTTCGTTTCTGCAAAGCTGCTCTTCAGAGCTTTAGGGCGGAGACTCGCTGCCTTCCAACCAGCAACGGGCATTCTGGAAGCAGGAAATGATGGCTTCCGTTTGGCCCCTGGTGCCCAGGAGGGCATGTCGCTGGGCACAGCTCTGAAGGTCCCTGGTGTGTAAGAGAAAAGGGATCACACAAAGATGGAAAAAACAATTGGCTCGTTCAGGGTTGGTGGTTGGTTCAAAGGAAGGCTCATGCTCAGGTGCCTGGAAAGGCGCTGCCCCCACCCAACCAGATGCCAACAGCCTGCCGATGGCCATGTTCCCTCTCCATGCTCCACCCCACGTTGTCTGGGAGGTTCATGATCAAACAGGAGCGAGCATCTTCCAGTCTCCTCAGATCTTTGTCTCAGGGCCACATGGGTTAAGCACCGAGAAAGACTCTCGTATCCTTGCCAGCTCCATGGCACAAAGTTGTCCAAAGACCTTGCTGTACCACTCGGGAGACCGGCCCCTGGAGAGACAACAGCACAGAGAAGAAGCCATTGTCAAATGCTGGAGAATAACATGTTTTTTCATGAACAGCAGGGCCCATTTCAGGATAAAAGGGACTATCAACATACATGCTCTGGGGCAGTGTGAGCAAGCACCAGCAGACATCATAGGGAATATTCCCTTCCCCATTCTCCCACACTGCATATGCCATGCAAGGCATGGGCATGATTATAAAGCAAGACTGAACGCTGCACTGGCTCCCTTTCCTAGCTAAGGCTGCTCCACCCTAGTCTAGTTTGCTGCAGAAAATTAAGGGATAATGCAGAGGGTCTTGTTTTTCCCAGATATATGGTACAATTAGCACTCCCAACAGAGACACATGAGCCCCTAACACTGCAGCCTGCCAGTGTATCTCATCCCAACCTGGAGGGACTCCTACCAGTGATACTATGGGATGCCAGCAGCCTCCAAGGAATTGGACTGGGATCACCAGCATGTTACACACAGGCACCTGGACAGCCATCTGACGGGAATGACTGTGGATCAATAGTGATCTTGGACAGACTGGAAGCTGTGAGCCAGCAGTAACTTGTCCGGCCAGCTCCCTGGGGACCTGCTGGGGTAAACCAAATTGCTAGAGGATACCCCTGTAACCTTTGAGGTCCTACATAACTCTGACCCCTCCTACTTTCCATCCTTCAGATCACTTTGGCAGTGCAGGCGTGGCCTCGAGGCCCCATTCCTCCCACCACCATCTCTGTGCAATCTACTAAACTTCCCCTTCTGAGCTGGGTCACAAGGCCTCTCTCTCACCAGTCATATTCCTCTAGAAGAGGCTGAGAAGCCACACAATCTTCCTATTTTCTACATAGACTATGGTAGTAGCCGAGTGAGTGTCTCTCAGCCATGACATGGATTTTATCCATGTGAGCTAGGGAAGCAACACCCCCAATTTACAGATGAGGGACGGGGTAATTAAGGTCACACATGAAGGCCGTGTCTGAGCTGGGAATGGATGTAGATCTCCTGGGTCCTAGGCCAGTGCCCTATCCCTAGACCATCCTTCTGACCCTAGGTTGCAACCCTTCTCCAGCCTCCACCACTCCCACACTTGTGTTTTGCTGCACCATGTTGAACTTAGATTGTAAGCTCTTTGGGGCAGGGATCATCTTTGTGTTCTCGGTTTGGATAGTGCCTAGCACAATGGGTCCTGGCCCATGATTCCTTGGTGTTACTGCAGCGCAACTAATAATTTACCTGCCTGTGAGCCATCTAGTGTGCTTGTGTGGGGGAGGTGTTAAATAATAAATGATAATTGATGGAGGGGTAGGGAGTGCTAGCAATGACTGTATGTATACGGCACCGTGCGGAAACTAATTACACCTCCCAGCCCCCCTGCAAGTAAGTGTGTATGCTCCCCATTGTGCAGACCAGAGAGGTCACAGTGAGTCACTGTCGGAGCCAGCATTGGTACCCACAGCTTCCTCACTCCCAGTCTGTGCTCAGATCACATCTCACACTGGACCAGCATTTGGCAAGAAACAGAGTAAAAGGCCTTTACCTGAGATCAGCTCTGCAGACGTGGGTCACTTTGGACTGACCCAACCCACACGGTTCAATCAGATACTGAGATGTTAACACCACGGCCCTGACCCCTCCTTCCACCTGCAGCTTTTCATGTTCCAGTGACATGGAGACCAACAGGCAAGCCCCTCGCAGTAGGTCCGTGTGCCACTTCCTGTAGGAGGGAACAAGCAAAGCTAGGGTGTCCATATTTCCCCAAGGGAAAACAGGACAGTGCGTGGGCCCAAACCGCTCACCCGAGCCCCCTCCCCTCCCCTCCCCATGCAGGGCTGACGTCGCTGCTCACAAGCCCTGCCTGCTCCCCCCACAAGGCTGGTGTCACTGCTTGCTCAAGCCCTGCCTGCGCCCCTCCCCAACCCTGCTTTCCCCCTGAGGGGGCTGGCATCACTCACTATTTTGACAAAAGTGGGCATTTGTTGGCAAGAGCAAACAGGACAAATGCCCACTTTTGCCAAACAAGTCAGGATGGCCGGGACAGGGCTTAAAAAAGGGACTGTCCTGGCCAAAATGGGACATAAGACCACCCCATCGTCACTTGAGAGAAAACAGAGCAGGATGCTGCAGCCACCCTCACCTTTAACACAAAGGTGCAGCCCACAGAAAATACGCTTCCCAGACGGAAACACGCCTCCTTGATCTGTGTCTGTCTAAGGCATTTTCAGGCTGCCCAACCCCTGAGAGCAGTATGTTGTCGCTGATGGAGAGGGAGCATTCCCAGCCAGGACCTGGAATCTCCACACGCCTCAGGGCAGCCACACCGCAGACCTCCGGGGACCTCCTTTGGTCTGTAGTCTGCCTGGGTAAATTGCGGGTGGGTATGTTGACCACCCTCTGATATAAAGGCATGGGACATTCCACACCAGGACCAATAGCTCCCTGCCTAGATAGGGGAGTTGGAGAGATTGCACCTTGCCTCCATGCTGGTCCAGATTCCCTCCCCCTGAAGTGCTTCTTCCTCCCACTTCACCTGAGAACGATGAAGTCCCTGCGGGGATGGGGCGCCATGCTGTCCGTGACGTAGTGATAAACCTCCATGTTCTTGTCCAGGGCCTCTATCACTTCGCCTTGCAGCAGGTCCTCATCCCAAAAGTGACGCTCCCGAAGTACCCTTTGCAGCACCATGTAGGGAGGGGCCTTCATCTCTGTGGAGACCTTCCACAAACGCAGTGGATGTCCGTCACCAACCTGTGGAAGCCCGTAGTGGAGGAACTCAGTCAGGCTTTCAAGCCAAGAAACCTAAGGGCAACAAGTGGCCCCTTGAGGCCTCCCTGCCATAGGAGCAGGGGAACTGCCTTACATGGGCTGGTGACTATGTGCAGCCTGCCCCCTACTGGATGGAACAGGGGAGACCTGCTCAGGTGTTAGCAGCTCACTGGGCTTACTCCATTGGCTCACAGGTGAGAGGCCTCTATGTCTGAACCAGCTCATCTGCAGTGAATATAAAGGGGATTCTTTATTGGGCCTCCTGGCACAGAGTACTCTGTGCTTGTCTCTGGTTATCCAGTTCCTTGGCTTCTGCTAGTTAGCGTCATCACACTGCCATGGAAGGAACACTACCTAGCCAAAGGGTATGAGGTCTAGTTGACAGAGCAGTTTAGCTGGCAGCCATGCTGTGTGTCTGTGTGTATCTATGGCTCATGAAGAAATCTACCAGGATGCATGTCCACTGATTAGTCTGATGCTGAATACTCCTATACTCTAAATACACCTGCATGTGCAAAGCCTTCCCAGCATGGACATTACCTTTTTGCAAGAGAGCTCTGTGTTCTGGGGCCCTGCGGTGCTGAGCCACCCTTTGAACCTCTCGGAGGACTCTTTGAGCAGGTTCTGCACATTGTCTTCCAAGTAAGCCTGGACATCCTTGCCCTCCCCTTGCAAGCTGTGGCTCAGTAGCTCAGCCAGGGAGAGCGGGTGGGCGTCTGCTGCCACGTAGGAGTTGCCCAGCTGAAGCATCATGTCGGGGGGTATCTAGAAACCAGATACATGGGACTGAGAAGTTTAAAAACCCAAGAGTGGTCACTAGTAATTGCTCACCCACTCTGTCTCCTGAAATCACTCCACAACAAACCCTGAGCTCACCTCTCTGACCCAGACTGACTCTGGGATGCCAATACCAATAGCCCAAACAATGCTGCACACCAACCAGCAGGACAGATTAGGTCCAGTGACATCGGGGCTCATTGGGTATCGTCACACCTCCCCCACCTATCACCTGATGTCCCAAATGTTAAGATGGGAGCAGTCAATTTAGGGAGGGTAAAAAAGTATTTCTACAAGGGAGATAAGCCTCCCTGCTTCAGGGACATAAGCTATTAACTTTGGGAGTTAGACAGAAACATCCCCTGCGGGAAGCAGGTTATTCCATAACTGCTCACTGGGGGCTTCTTGCACATTCCTCTAGAGCATCTGGTCCTGGGCACTGTTGGCAAAAGGAAACTGGACCAGATGGATTCTTGGGCCAATCCAGTGCAATTACTAGGTCCCTGGAACACTGAGGAAATTCCACCTGGACAGTGGATGAATGAGCATGATACAGCACAGCCATCCTGTCTGGGTCTGTGCCCTGTGATAAGTGCTCTGCAATGCCACTCGAGACACACCTGGGATTGGTTAGCAGGCCTGGCCTATTGCTCCCCAAGCTGGGATTGCTGCGTAGCAGCACAGTGTGTGCTCAGGAGCATGTGGGGAAGGGGAGCCCCGCTGGACAAACGGGAGAAATGGCCTGAAGTAAATAGGATGAAATTCAATAAGGGACAAATGCAAAGTACTCCACTTAGGAAGGAACAATCAGTTGCATACATAAAATGGGAAATGACTGCCTAGGAAGGAGTACTGCAGAAAGAAATCTGGGGGTCATAGTGGACCACAAGCTAAATATGAGTCAACAGTGTAACACTTGCAAAAAAAGCAAACATCCTTCTGGGATGTATTAGTGGAAGTGCTGTAAGCAAGACAGGAGAAGTAATTCTTCTGCTCTACTCCACGCTGATAAGGCCTCAGCTGGAGCATTGTGTCCAGTTCTGGGTGCCACATTTCAGGAAGGATGTGGAGAAACTGGATGAAGTCCAGAGGAGAGCAACAAAAATGATGAAAGGTCTAGAAAACATGAGCTCTGAGGGAAGATCAAAAAAATTGGGTTTGTTTAGTCTGGAGAAGAGAAGACTGAGAGGGGACATGATAACACTTTTCAAGTACATAAAAGGTAGTTACAAGGAGGAGGGTGAAATATTGTTCTTATTAACCCCTTAGGATAGGACAAAAAGCAATGGGCTTAAATTGCAGCAAGGGCGGTTTAGGTTGGATATTAGGAAAAACTTTCTGTCAGGGTGGGTAAGCACTGGAATAAATTGGCTAGAGAGGTTGTGGAATCTCCGTCATTGGAGGTTTTTAAGAACAGATTAGACAATCCTCTGTCAGGAATGGTCTAGTTATACTTAGTCCTGCCATGAGTGCAGGGGACTGAACTAGATGACCTACTGAGGTCCCTTCCGGTCCTACACTTCTCTGATTCTATCGCACTTCATAGAGTTTTCCTAGGGCAGGCAATGAGTAACAGTGAGTGGTTTCAAAAGAGAATCTTGGCCTTTCCCAGGTACCATGACAAGGCGCTGAGGGGTGTCGGGGAGGAGTACATTGGGATGAAGGCAGACTCTGCTGTGAGAGTTGAATTCCCTCAGAGCAGCATTCTACACAGACTGGCACCGTTTCTGTCAGATTCCTCTCCAGTTGTACGCCAGTCCCCAGAGCACACAGGGAAAGTGCCCGGGCACCTGCTACTTCTACACATCTCCTCCCAGACCCTTTCCACAGTCATTTGACTTGCCGAGAGGAGAAGGGTTTCATTGTTACACGATCACAGGCGAGACAGGGCCTGCTGCTGGCTAGCTTCTGTACGGCAATGGCAGAAGGATGGTTTAATGCCCAGAACTTGGAAGAACTGAGCTCACTTATCAACCCAGCCAAGGACCTGCCATGTGACTTGGGCAAGTCACTTCATCTATCGTGTACCTCAGCTGTACCGGGCGGAAGGCAGCACTGCCCTACTGAGCAGGGGTTCTGTGAGGACAAAATCCAGGGGTGCTCAGATTGTACAGCAAGGAGGGGCCAGGTAAGTACCTATACAACGAAGAATCGCTCACCTGGAGCTGCAGCTACCTACCTGGAACAGCTTCTTACAGTCTGTGATCATATGGGAGAGCCCCTGGGTGGCAGCCATGTTTTCATTCAGGTCCTTCTGGTCAGGCTTTCCTATGGTGCCTCTCTTCTGAATCATTCTGCCCAAGAGAATGCAGACTAGTGAGACCCAGCAGAGGGAGTGACGGCCACGAGAGACCTGGGAGTAAGGGTTCAGCCGGAGGCACCCTATGCATCCTTGCAACAGGGAGGGATAGTGGCAGGGGAGGAATCACTGTATTGTACTAATTGAAAAGATGGAGCCCTAAGGAGAGTCCTGCTGACACCCTGTGGTGAAACATCAGTACTGCAGCTTCCTAATCCTATCAGTTTTCAGCAGAGCTGGGCTGGCCGTAGACTCCTTCCCCTCCTGCCCTCACATTGGGAACCTCACTATGTCCCTCACTGGGGACTGTATGCTGCTGTACTACCATCAGGGTGATTACTCTGTTACTGCTGTGCTCAGCCCAGGAGGAAGATTAGGCTGTAAGCTCCTTGTGGCCCAGGCCTTATGCCACTCGTCCACTGTGCCCATGTGGCATAAGGCCTGGCATAAGGCATAACTGTGTGCCTGTGCCATGGCTCTCAGAGGGACTCCAACAGCACTGGGCTTGAGAGTTAGGACCTTAGCTGGAAGCTCCTCCCCCTAGCATGTCCTCTAGGAGTCCCTCGCAGCCCCTGATGGAGAGCATGAGCAGAGGGAACCCGTTGGAATGGAAGCCCTTTCCCCCCTTTGTCTGACCCAGCCTCAGTGTAGATGGCACAGCGAGTGCACCCAAATGTAACTGGGCTAGCCAGGGTACCACCAGGCTGTGTCTCCAGTACGGAAGACAGGGAGAGGGATTGTGGAGGGGAGCGCTGGGAGTCTGAATTGACTGTGCATTACCTGGGTGAGGTGCTCTCCTTTTTGGACACGTTGAGGTGGAAAATGGATGGAGCCAGACACACCGCCAGGTTCCCGGATGTCATCTGGTTCTCCTCAGCTGAGGCAATGTCACTCAGGAAGTACAACAATGTCTGGAGCACCTCCCGGTTCTCATCTGGCATCAGGATGATGGCTGCCTGGACAGCTTGCAGCCTCTGCTCTTTTGGGACAACTGAAGGCAAAGTGAAGGAGCCTGTGGTCAGCCAGGCTCTGGGACCCTACACATTAGGAGCTCCTCTAGACTTGGCTGATTGGACCAAGTGGCAGCTAGGTGTGGCCCCAGAAAATAAGGGTACTTGCTCTCCTCATACCGAAACTGCTGTCCAGTCAAAGAGCCCCAGGACACCTTACTGCCGGCCTCTCATTGTGTGGAGCTGGTCACAGCAAGATTTGTTCGTAGGCCATTTCACAGCGAAAATCTCCCCTGGTGACACTTCTCTCCTAGCAGCATGTTCACAGGGCCTGGGACGGACCACAGCCCATGTATTCCTCTGAGGGCAGCACTCGGTCACAACTAAGAGCCGTGCAACTGCATGCCGACAACCACCTCAATGGTGCCAAGCAGTGGGGACTGAGGAAAGGGCCCAGCCATGCTCTGAAGCACCCCTCACTGCTCCGGCTCTGCTCCCTGGTTAGAAGCCTATGCCGACCAGTCAGTTTTACTCCACTGCTGCTGGCAGAGCATTTGCAACGGGGTGAGGCTATAGCAGTGGGAAGTCCCCTCAGGACGCAGAGCTAGAATAAGGCTAAATAGAGCCTAGGTCCAACAAATCAGCCCCCTTACTCCACAGATCGTCTCTCTCCTCTCCGTTTCCCCATCTCTCAAGCAGACGCCTCTTCCCAACTCCCATGGGTGAGCTCCTAAGTCCTTGATTTTCCTCCCAAGCTAGGCAGCCCAGCCCAGCGGCCACCACAGCACCTCCTGCAGCTTTGACCCAACTCCCTACTGAGCCTGGACCCACTCCCAGCCCTGAGGGCCCTGTCTAGCTCTGCCCCGATGGGGGCCTCTCCCAGGGAGATTTTTAGTGGCACTTACACTGATAGATCTGCAGGAAGGTGTCGGTGAGCTTGCTGGTGAAGATGGGCTCTGGCAGGTCGCGGAAATACTGCTTCAGCAGGTCAGCCACGTCGTAGGCCGACTGCCCTTCATAGTTTACATTGTCGGGGGAAGCTTCGTTCATGTGTCTGAGCACCTGGATCCGAGACTTCACCCCCGACTTCCGGAAAATGCCAATCTGCCCAGGAGAAGCACAGAGTCCAGCAGTCAGCCAAGGCAGCCCTGAGCTCCAGACAGAGTAACTAGCTCGGTCTCAGGCAGGTGCTGACCGCCCTCAGCTCAGCCTCTGCTACCCAGTGAGAAGCCAGGACACCCAGCTGGCTAGGGAGTCTCTGTGGTGCCCATCAGGAGACACCGTCCCAGCATGTCTGGGTTCCCCCATCCTGGGAAGGGGGCCCTGGGCAAAGGAAGGTCGAGGAGGCAACAATGCCTGAGAGGAAGGGTGTCAAGTCACTGACTAGGTGAAAGGTCGTGGGCTCCACTCCCCACACGATGGCAAGAACATTGTTGCCCTTCCTGAGATGCTCGCTGCTGTGTGTGGGCTGGGCCAGGGCACCCAGGTGAGGTGCCTGGTTTGGCAGGCAGAGACTGGGGTGACAAGAATAAGCCCCAGTTTACTGCAGTTCCCCAAAGCTCATTACCACCTTGCTGGCCTTCCAACCAGCCCACATACTTTCAAGCTTCCCCTCAGCGACAGGTCCATACCCCAGTCGGCTGTGCTGGTGGACGAGGCAGGGGTACCAGCAGGGGCTGACACTGGTTCCTTAAATAAAGTGCAATCTTCCTGCCCCACTGAGAGGGCTGCAGGGCTGTGGAGCTACACTGAAGCCCAGGGCAGGGGTTGTGGGCAAAGGCAATGAAGCTGTACACAGTTCTAACGCTGCAGTACGCTCCTATGGCAAGCAACTCTGTATCTCCCCCTCACGGCAATCTGAATGCATTGGGGTTAAGGAGCAGCACCCTACGGAGTTAAGCCAGTGGGGCCAAAGCAAGAGGTTGCCTCCATCACTCATGCACCCTGACAGAGACACAGAGATCCCTGGAAAGTGAGCACCCTGATTACCATGGCTGCATCTACTGCAGGGCTCTGGCGATGCTGAGAGGACCCAGCCAGCTGACACAAGGTGAAATGAGGGGGGGTGAGCTGTGGGCAAGTGAATGGGAGGTCAGGGTTGTACTGCAGATGGCTGGTCCTCACCTGGTCCAGGCACTGGCTGCGGATGTGGCGCATGGCCTGCTGGATGCTCTGTGGCAGAGGCTGCCCTGTCCTCTGCATGTTGATGATTGGCGGGACCCCAAAGACCATTTTGTCCCTGTAGTCGGGGGCTTTGCTCCTCTTCATGAACTTGGGGACAGTCCTGTGAGATGGGGACGGGGGCAGACAGGCCAGTCAGAACAACCACCATTTGCCTGGGGCAGAAGCTCACAGCAGCAAGCAGGAGGTGAGGTGGGGACACAAATGCGCACACCATGTGCACATACACGTGCACGCATGTAGACCTCATGTGCATGCACGCCCACGTGCACACATGCCATATGCACCCCCCATGTGCATGCACTCACATATTTACATACCATATGCAGGGATGCACATATGCAGCATATGCATACATGTACACATGGTGTGTGCACACACACTCACATGCATGCATGCACACATGAGCACATAACCACATGCTCACACGCAAACAACTCTACCTTGTACAGATACTCTCAGGTACAAAAGAACCCCCCGACCTCCCCCCCCATAGTCTGTTGTGTTTCTACAGCACCTTCCATCCCAAAGTGCTTCACAAACAATCCGTTCAGCACTGCTGAAATGCAGTCATTTCTGGGGTGGAAGGCAGGGGCCAGGGGAACTGCCTACAGCAAACTCCTACTGGGAGCCCACGGCAATGTTCCATGTGCATGCAGGGCAAAGAGGGCTTCCCCCTTCATCCCCCAACACACACACACACCTCACTCTCTGCCACAGGAGGATGAAAGGCTGAGTCAACTCTGCTGGGATCTGAAGCTCTGGTTTCAGGGAGCTCATGCTTGGCCCTACTCAATCATGCCCTGCAGCTTCCCTTCCCCACCCCCATTTCGCCCACACTCACCAAGCCCAGGCCTGCTTGTGGGGCACAGAGTGCTTCTCCATGATGGCAGTGAGGCGAAGCAGCGAGCACTTCTGCAGCAGGTTGAGCTGAGCGGAGGACTGGCGGTTGATCTCCAGGGAGGCAGAGTTCAAGCTGGGACGATGGGAGTTCTGGAAACTGTGCCAGCGTAGCTTCCTGCAGGGGACAGCAGGGTGAGGGAGCAAAAGGTCACACTGGCAGCCATGTCACTTCCCCAGGGGAGGAGGATGCCTGCTTCCCACACTGCCCAGTGCTCCTGAGAGCTGAGCAAGGGTCCAGCAGAGGCAGTGAGACAGCAGGAGTAGCACCCTCATGCCACCTCCTCCAGCAGGGACTGGAATATGAACTACCCTAGGCCGTGGGAGGGATGGGCCCATGACAGTGTCCAAAGCTGCCCTCCCGTGCAATACGAACACAGCAGGGGCATTTCCTTTGAGAGCCCCAATGCTGTGGTTACTGGTCTGCTGAGCCTGGGGATTTAGAGACCTGCTGTCCTGGGGAGCAATGCGGGCACTGGGTGGAGGGCAGTGGCATTTTCTTTTGCTTCCCGGAGCAACACCTTCCCCCAGTGAAGTACACAACACTGGCAGTAACAAAGAACCCTGCTATCTACCCAACCCTACCGCAGCAAAATCACAATGCTCTAGGGCCACCATCCAGCTCATCAGTAACAAGGGATCCTGATTTCCACAAGTCTGTACTGGGTCTCTCTCTCTCTCTCTCTCTTATTTATTTATTTATTTTTTTTTGCATAGGACAGGGGCAGAGGGGCCTGGCCCAGCAGCAGCAGGAGGAGCAGCCTCCCACCTCCCTCCAGGCCAGAGGGCTACAGCAAAGCAGTCCTGTTGGGATCTAAGAAGTGGGCGGGCACTGCTAAAGGACCGGCCCCCAGCCTAAGGGGAGGATCCACAGGTCCGGGATTCCAAATGATTGCAGGGGACAACTAAAAAGATAACAGGAACGGGAGTGAGGTCACAGGGCTAAACGAAGGGAACCTGACAGGAACACCAAGCAGAGAACCCCGGACAGTGCCCACTGCTCCACGAAGGCGGCCTCATGGAAGGGCCTAGACTCGTATCTAGCCATCCCGCCAGGTCTTTACATCACAGCCAGATCCAGGGTATCAGTGTCTGGGAGAGAGACGCAAGTCTGCAGGTCTTTCACAGAACCCCACATTTGCTTTGCGTGGGAGGCTGTTGTGTTCAGATAGTGGGAAGCAACACCACAATTTGACCCTGTGTCATCACTGTGAAATCAGGGTGACACAAACACCCCGAGTCAATGCTTACTTTCAGCAGAACGAAGGAAATCAAACACCCTGACTGACTTGCTGTAGGGAGCTTGCTGGTGAGCTCTGACCCTGCTGAACTTTCCCAAGTCCATGTTGTTCTGAAAGGCCCTGGACATCCACCAATGCACTGGGGTAAATCTCCAAGCACAGAGGGTGGGAGTGACTTTCCCTGCTGACTTGAATGGGTCTAAATCCCCACCCATCAATCACCTACCAGCAGAGGAGTTACCGTCCACTATCTAAACGTGCAGGCGCCAGTTAACTTAGGGCAAGTGGGAAGCTGAGCAGATGCCAGAGCTTTTCAGAGGGATTTTCATACCAGGCAAACTACCCCACTTGAGCCTGTTTAACAGCAAATCCATAGACAGTAACTTCCTGATTTCATAACTGATAATTTTAAGTCAATGTGGCAAAGCACATCCAGGGGGCAAGGGGGTGGAACCGGGTCTGTGTGTGACACAACAAATATGCCCATATTAATGTTGCCTTCAAACTGGCAGTAGTGAAGGGTAGATGAGCATACTGGTCCTTCTGAATGCTCTTGGTGCTTGCTTCAGGCCACTAGAGGGCACCAGAGACTCAAGCGGCGTTCACCCGCTGCCCTTAGAGACCCAAACTAAGTCTCACACAGTGCAGCGGCTCCTGGAGCAACTGCTTCTGAACAGGGTCTTCATTTGTTCCACGCTGGCTCAGTCCCGGCAAAAGCAATAGCATACACAGATGGCACACTCACAATGTCTGTCACCTACACCAATGCCAGCCTGCCTCGGAGACCAACATCACCGTGACATTCCCTCCTCTCCCAAGTGCTGGTGGCCCAGCGGAGCTGTGCAATAAGCAAACGCCAGGGTTTATCCAGGAGATGATTTTAGATCTAGGGCCAAAGGGTCTCCCAGAAGAAGTAGAGCCCCTCACATTGTTCTCTAGTGGCCTCTCAGGATTGATCTACATACGAGCAACACTGAGGCATCGGACAGGGCTTGCTCCCAGCTCTGGGGGAGACTGGAATGCAAACAGCCAGCAGAGGCCTGTGAGCACCCTCCCAAAGGAAAAGCCTGGTGGCGCACTAGGGGCCAGCTGGTTGCGCCTGTAGAAAGTCAGCCCCAAGACTAAACTCTCCACCTGTCACACACCTGCCGTTAAAGGGACACTGAGCTGCCAGGGACAGCGGTGTCTGAGGGGAGTTGTGCCTAGACCTGAGCTCAGTGACGCTTCCAACCCACTTACCTGCAAGGTCTGGTGAGGGACGCTCCCACACCTGAATCCCTGCGCTCTCTCATCTCGATCTCCTCCACCTCATTCAAGGAGTTCCCTGTGCTGTCGAAGTCGCTGGCAGAGGTGCCCACGTCAGATATGGACTGCTCTTCCAAGTTCAGGTTGGAGGGGAAGGTGGGCTCCCCTCCTGAGTCCGTCTCCTCCTCCCCTTCCCCCTCATCCAGGTTGGGGCTGAGTGCCTTAGACCAGAGCTCCACCTTCCGCTGCAGCCCCCAGACGTCCTGCAAGATGTCATCGAGATTTTTGTAGCTCACCTCCCCATCCATGCTGAAGAAGTCTTCGCTGCTGCCAAACTCAGGCACGTTGTCATACACGCTCGTCCGGCTGCCCACGGAGCTGCATGAGCCCCGCCTCTGCCGGCACGCAAAGCCCCGTGGCGAGGGGTCGTCCATGCTGCTGCTGCCGCCCTCTCCACACCCCGAAAGCCCCACCGCTTTGCTCCCAGCTTTCCAGTTGGCCAAAGGGCTGCCATCGAGAGGACATAAGCTTTCGATGGAGAGAGATTTGGGGAAAGTCCCCGGCTTGTGGTCCCCAGGGAGGTGGATCAGGCAGTCACCCCGGTACACGTGCCGGTGGCACAGTTCTCCAGCAGCCCAGCTGGTGCTATTTTTCAGAGCCGTTTCAAAGTCCTCCAGATAGACCGCACCGCGTCTCAGTTCAGAGCCCGGCTTCCTCTCACCTGAGTTTGACATGCCATTAGTCCTATAGCCCACTGAGAGAAAGCGTTCGTTGCCATGGAAAGAGGAGGACATGGCTCTTTTGGGGGAGGTGGTCATGGCAGCAGTAAGCTCCCCATTGCCATTCACAGAGTCCCACCCTGATTTGGTCACTGTCCTGCCGCTAGTGCCATCCTTCGCTTTGGAGTCAGACTTCTCTTTGTCCTTCTTTCGGAAAGACTCTATCCTTTTTAGGAAGCTGAGGGACCTCCGCGTCTTGGACTTTTCCTTAGAACTCCCACTCTGGTTTGGGGATTGGTCTGTCACGAAGTGGTCACTCAAGCTCTGGCTGGATTTGGTGATGTTTGGAGAGTCCTGGCTGGGTGACCCGTCAGGCAGGGTGGCCACAATGCCAACTGTGCCAGCAGTGCTGCCTGTGCTGATATTGCTGCGGAGCGAAGTGGCTTCCAGACTGGCACTGGGGTCCGTAAGGATGCTCTCACGGCTGGATGTCTGCCGCATGGTGGAATTCAGCACCTCTGGACTGTGGGAGAGAAAGTCGACAGAGCCAATTCTGGACCACCTTTTGCTTTCCCTCTGGAAGGCCCATCGGTCGCTGATGGCACAAAGATCTTCTTCCTCTGAGTCTTCATTCTAAACCAAGAATAAGGATCACAGAGTAAGACACAATCAGCTGGGTCAGCCAGTCTGACCACCCTCCCCCGGAGTTTTGCATGTCTACTCACACCCACCAACCACAGCTAGGGTAGGGGAATTTACAGTTGCATAACCATATCTTCTCTTGATGTGGACATGTGCTATATACAACACACTTTACGAGACCCAGCAAGCACACTCCACCTTCTGTGCAATTGCTTTTCATAGGAGAGAGATAAAAGATCCATTAAGTCTCATTCTGTCCAGTCTCTGGGGGCTAGTGCAGGGTAGTTCTCTACAGTACGTTCCTGAGGGCTCTGTCCATGCTAGTTCTAAATGTTTCATATGGTGGATCCAGCCAGTTCACAGGGTTACGAAGCAGGGGGAAAACACCATCCCATGCAAACAGACTCCAGAATTGGTAATAGTGTCCTGATGCTCTGCCTGTCTCTCTCCTGCCAGGACAGGTGGCACACTGGAGAAGCAGCTCAGCAGAAGCACACCGTACTGTTGTCCATTAGAAAGCACTGTCCCTGCCATGCAGCCAATCCCAGAGCCTTTAGACTTAGAACAGAGGGTTCCTTGCCACACAATGGACTGAGTCCTACAAAGAACAGACTGCTCCACTGTAACTGAACCAAAGGGGGAGGGGACAGACGGAAGCTGTTGCTTTGTAGATACACTTGCTGGTATGAAAAGGGTTTCTGGGGCCACCGGTCAGGTGCTGGGACAGAATGGCTCATGGCCTTGCCAAGCCGACATACAAATCAGAGATCAGGTGAAGCTTGTCTTCTGGTGTCCCCAGGAGTTGCTACAGAATATAAGCTTTCACTTCAAACATTTAAGCCTCTGTTAGACCTGCAAGAATGATGCAGCTGGGCTGACTTACTGTAGCTGAATTAAAGGGCCCTTTGCTGTAGACTGGGGTGGAGGGGAGAGGGACAGCAAAATTGTGAACTTCCACCACACTCATCTAAATAGGGTGTTCACTCTGAAACCCAATGACGACAGCTTAAATATTAATAATGGTCAACTATTTCACTGCTGATCCTTTTATCAGAAACATACCACTACCATGGGGCTAAAGGTAGCTATCGGGATGGAGGGCTGGTTTTCAATACAGCAGCACCTGCCTAAACATAAACAAAGGGGAATTTGGAGCAAGATGTGCATATAAATAGCAGCTTCCATTCCTTTAATACCAACTGCAGTACATCACACACACGAGCCATTATTTATCATTTATTGAGGGAAATATGGAGGCCACAAAGTTTCCTGCTAACAGGACCAGAGGACTTTATTGTTCCCTATCTAAAACCAGGATATTCAACTTCCTGTTAAGGATTCTAGATAGTGTTGTCCAACACAGAGGTTCTCAAACTGGGATGCACACCCCCTGAAGGGGGCAGAATGTATTCTGGGGGGGCATGAGAAGACACTCTGCCTTCAGAGCTGGGTGGCTGGAGAGCGATGGCTGCTGGCTGGGCAGCCAGTTCTGAAGACAGCTCCATCGCCAGTAGCAGTGGAGAAGTAACGATGGCAATGCCGTGCCATACCACCTGCTGCTGGCGGCGGCTCAGCCTTCAGAGCTGGGCAGCCATATATGTACTTGTGTGGCAGGAGCAGGAGGGAGAGAGAGCATAAACTACTCCAGACACAAAGAAGGGAGGCGCGATCAAATACGTTTGAGATCCACTGGTCCAAGAAGCATTTCCTGTAGTAAGGAGCAGTATCATTAGAATCACCACCAGAAAGCACTCAAAACACCATGTGTATGTATCCCCACACTGTAGCGACCAAGCACATAATGTACATTACAGTAGGAAAATTAAAGCAATTTATTGTAAGACCTGGTCCAAAAATAGGGGGGAAATGGGCCGATATATTTTAACTGTTTCCTATCAAAAGTCAATATTTACAAAAATATTCAGCAAAACTGTGAACAGTTCCAGTTAAGTGGTACGAATAGCTCCCCAGCAATCACGCTGCTTTGGTGGTGAGGTAGGGTATGTACGGAGTTAACAGTAGCAATGCCTTCTGAAGAGGGAATGCAAGGGCAAATAGCCACCACCAAAACCTGTATTGGGATTACAGTTTTGGGGACAGCTGTGACATTTCTCCCAGCCCACATACTGATTTCTTGATCTGGTCAGTCACGCAACATTTTTACTAATTCCTATTAGATTTATCCCCAAACGCCATTGGTCCTAGTGACAATCTCCTCTAACTGTGGCATTTCTATTTTTAATATAGCTACCTCACTGTTTCTGTACTCGGTGAAACTAGCGCAAATAGCTTGAAGCTATCCACTCGGCCCTGGCCCCCTTTCCACCTTCATTTTCTTTCTCTTGTTTGTGTTCTGCAGAACCAGAGATCCGGACACCGGAACAATGTTCCAAAACCATGACCCCTTCCTGCAATTCTGCAGGACAGGTGAGAACCTTTGGCACTAAGGTGCGGAGCCTGCAGCCGCCACAGAGTGCAGGTGGGAATGGAAAATATGAAACCACAATAAACAATGTTTTAAGAGAAGCATTTTATTGTCTGAGACACATGGGTAAATTTTATTCCCCCCTGACGGAAACTCCCCTCTGGGGTTATGTTTCCTCACTAATCCATTCTGCCAGACATTTGCTCAAGGAAATCCCCTTCTAGTTCACGTTTAATGGCATGGCACTGCATTAGGGCTGGCCTGGAAGCAGCTGCAACCAGACCCTACTAATGGTTACCATATAAGATATCTGCAGTAAGTCTCCTGGTGATGGGAGCTCACCTCAAGTCAGGGGCCTAAGTTCAAATCTGGATGAGCTCATGAAACGGGCTTGCTGAAGCAGCTTCTCCAATGGTCGGAAAGGTTACAATTTGGATCTCATAATGGTTACACTGAAACATGACAAAAGGGAACACAGAACTGGCCATGGACAAATACAGGCATTCAGCAGAACAAACCAACACACAAAGGAGGGGGGGAGGGAAAAGAAAAAAAATCAGGGTTCTTCCCCTGTGAAATCCTCCCTTTGACATCAGGAGCAGGATGACAAAAATAGATATTAATATATGGGAAGCAAAAGCAATGCTGGCGGGACCCCAGATAGCACAGTTTAAAAAGCCAGCCAAAGCCACTTGTCCCTGGCGATCTGCTAGAGCAGGGTTCTCAAACACCCTCCAAGAGTGCACCTGAACTTTCTGGAGAGATTGTCTTGTCGACTCACACACACCCCCTTCCACCTGCAGGGAAGGAAACCATTCCCTGGACTCCACCTCACCCACCCACCCCACACCCTTTCACAGAACATCCTCATGGAAAAGATAGCAATTGCTTATGTAGAAATGTACCATTCAGAAAGAAATTTCGGTGTAATTTAGCAGCTGAAATGAGGAGGCTCAGCACAGTATGACAAACCATGGAGCACACACTGACACAAGCCTTCCACCTCAACCCTGCAGCATGCAAGCAGGGATTCTAGATAGCTGTGCTCCTTCTTTACTCAGTACTAAGCAGAAAGAACCATGACCCAGGACAGAGCAGGGGAAGGCATCTGATCCAGGAACGATGCTTTTCTACATGAATGAGCAGTGTTGGAATTGTTCGTTTTTAAACACAGGCTCATTGCCCCATCCGTGTGCATGTGTTTTCCCCGCAATGCACCATGGCTTTGTTTATACCCTTGAAACCTCACCACTTACCTGTTTACGCTGAAAGTGGACTTCCAGCTTCATAGAGGCACATGTGTTCAGTGTCATCAGCCTCCTGCAAACAAACAAGAGATGCTTTTGTCTGGTTTGGCTTTCGCTGCGGCAGTTTGTTTTTTTCTCAAGGGCTCGTGTTGCGGCATTGTCACCTGTCACCAAACAGCTGGGGAGCAAGCGGATGTGTGGAGCTTGGGACAGGCCCAAGATCATTTCCCGCCGAGTGCACATTTCCCAGCTGCAGTGCTTAATTTGTGCCAAGACTTAGCCCCAGCACCCCTAAGCTTGGCAGTTCACAGCCCCAGCACCTTTGCGCTTGGCAGTTCACCGCCCCAGCCCCTCTGGCCTTGCTGCATCAGGTATGAATGTTAAAAAATTGCTTGAGCCCCAGCACCTAATTGCTTGAGCCCGGGCACCTCTTTCATTACAAATCAAGCGCTGCCCAGCTGGCACAGGAAGGAGAATGGGAAGAAGCTTCTCTGGACTCCTCGTGTTTCCCTTTTCCCAAGGGTGAAAGCAGAACCACATGTGCCTCGGCATCTCCCCTGAAGAGTTCAGACCACTCCAACATGCCTATGGCCTGAGTGCTTTAATGGCTCGGGCCAGAGCCATTTCACAAGTATCCAAGTCAGAGAGATGCCCCACTGTTTTTCAATACAAGTCCCTGGATGCTCTGGCCAAATTGCAAGTACCTGCAACTCCTCTGGTTACACTTCAGCTTACTATCCCTGTGGCCAGCATCAGATTCAGCACCCACTGCTGCACACGTTCACCACTGCCACCCACTGTACATTGCACCCCTTCCTGTGATAGACTCTCGCGTGGATTCCAATTACTTTGTACGTCCCATATTTGACTTGGGACCAGAAGCCACTTCCTACCTTTTGAAGTTTGTTTCTTACCCTTCCCATGGCTACAAGTTAACCCCGTTCACTGCTGCTGCAATGTGACTGGCCTCCATAGAATGTCAGGCTGGTCCAGGCACCTCCGGTCACGTTGGGGATGGGGGGAATGCATTTAATGGAAATACCCAATACTTCACTCTGGCCCTGAAGGAGTTACACATCTTAAATACAAAAACAGCCCTTTCCCCACAAGATAAAACAAATCCATCCTTTAACAGTCAGAACAGCCCCTCTCCAACAGCACCACTAAGCCCTGATCTCACACTGATTTTCAGATGACAAGGAGAGGATTTAGAAATAGGAACCCTAAAACTACCTCTAGGTAATTGGGGGGGGGGGGGTGAGTCAGTGGCTCACTGGGTTTAGTGCCCAGGCCATTTTCATCTCCAGAGGCCTCAGATCTTCAGTCCACACCTGAACATGTGTTTAGCTGGTAGGCAATCTTTTCTCTTCCGCTCCAGAGGAATCCAGGACTGGAGTAATAGGGGGTACTGCCGAGCAGGATTAGGGTGCACTGGTTGTGCTTTTGGGAGCGGGTCAGGTATGGCACAGTGTGCTGCAGACTAACAGGGAAGTGCGTTGGCATAGCTGTGCAGAAGTGAAGGACAGGGAAGGTTGGAATTGAAATGCAAGGGAATAACTGGAATAGGAGCAAATGCACCTTCATCCGAATCTGCAGCATCAGCAGAGGTGGGCAGGGCCCAGCTTGGAAGCTACAGGTCAGGAATGAGGTGAATTGAGAGGACTTCAGAACACAAGATTAAACAATAGTGTGATGCTGCAGGCCAGGACTCAAGTGAATTGGCAGAGTTTCCCCACTCCAGCCTTGGACTACAAAGGAGGGCCTGCAGAATGTCAGCATGGTGGTGTTTTGGCAGAATTGCAGAGAGGAAGCTGAACTGCTCTTGGCCACATCACACTGGGCTCTGTCCAGCAATGTGACTTCACCATCCGTTCAGCACTGCATTCGGAGCGGGTACAGAACGATTCATTCCAGTTAGTGCTCAATCTGTTTGCTCCTCCCCTGTGGTGACCTCATGATGAGATTCCCTCTAGGGCACCCAGGTAGTTTCCGTTATTTCCAAGGTTGCTGGGCACATGCCTATAAACTTTAGAAGAGCTACAAATCTGCCACCATCATTTAGTGGCTAGGAGCCTATCTGCTCACACTGGAGTGGGAAGGCTAAACTTGGCGGTTGGTCTGCAAGAACCGTTAATCTCCAGGTCCAGAAGTGATTTATGTCTGTGTGCGTGGGAGCTAATCGGAGTGAGAGACTGGAGTATACACTGCGGTTTGTCAGCTCACGCTCATGACTGCAGGAAATAGACTTAAATACAACAAAGGGCAGCTCATTGAAAAGCGAGATAGAAATCCAGACAGCTTCTCTCCATGCATGAAAACAAGTTGCTAGTGTGAACGAAAATGAGAGAGTAAACAGAAGAGCTCGTCATGGCTGGCCTCTTGTAGATGTCTTAGCAGTGAGGCCATGGAGGCTGGGTCTCTCTGCTGGAGCTGGTTCCTTCACAGCAGTGGCGGGAGCTGACTCGCCACCGCCCCTGGCGTACCTGCTCAGATGATAAACAGAGGACTCCAGCCTCCAGGGCTGCAGCACCAGCCTTTCACCAGCAAAGAACTCTCCAAAAAATAATCTTTCTTTTAAAAAGCCAGGGGAAGGAAGTGGCAGCAGGAGGTGAAAGGAAACAGGAATGAACTGCATCCCCTCACAAGGCGTTTAATGAAATGCTCTGAGGCGGGGGAGGGAAGAAGCTGGCTGGTTTGGGCTCAGTCTCTGCTCTGAGCATGAGACACATGACCTGCTCGCCTGTTATTAACTTGTTCAAAGCAGTCGACTAAACGGCTTTGACACTTAGCTGACAGCGGATTAAGCCTCACTCCCTTTTCCCATTGTTTAGATTCCGGGCAATTTAATAACAGTTTCCCCAAGGAAGCTAATAATATAATGGGCAGTGTATAAGCAGGGAGGTAGAGAGAAAAGCCACCAGGTGGGATGGCAAATCCTCGGCATTAATTTAATTAAATCTCTGCCAGCCTCTATTGAGGACATCCATTCCCTCTGCATTTTCAAGGACCCTGAGAAGAAGGCAGGTGTCGTCTATAAAGCACAATGCGGAGGAGATTCCCAGAGTTCACTGGGGGTGGTGGTTAGCCACCCAGTACTGACAGGCATTAAAGGGCTATAGTTTCAAAGGGGCTTCCTGAACTGGTCCCACAAAAGTTATGAACCAGCCAATTTACATGCATGAGTGCAGGTTTTGCACATGGAAATGGGGGGGCATATGTAACATAATCGAAGGGGGTTACACATGCAAGTTCTGCAGGCACAATAGAGGGGCACCTTCAAACATCTGACACGGAAAGAAACGCAGGCTATTCAGCGAAGAAACATGAAGTGACTCTGCCAAATTCACAGAGGGAATCAGAGCTGGGATTAGAACTCAGGAGTCCCTGGCTCCCACTGCTGAGCTGAGACCACTGGACATTGCACCTCCAGGGGTGTGTGGACTAGAGTTTGTGGTCCTGCTTTAACTTGACTTAATAGATTGCCAATTAACACAAGTTAATTAGCACCTTTGTCAACGTTAATATACACACTACACAAAGGTTCCAGGACACAAGGGCTATGTCTTCAGGGCCAAGAAAGGTATGTTTTAACAGCAAGGTAACTCACACACATGAGCTATTAGCGATCTCATTGTAAAATCCTGGTGGAAATAAGGCTCAGTTGTTTTTCACACCAGATGGCAAGGAGAGGTCAATCACGGGCGGGTGGTATAGCACTGATCTCTTCTAATCACAGTGAACAGTCATTAGTTATCCTGCTGTAAAAAAACCCACCATTTCTGCAGGGAAGATAAAGCCAGTCAAAAGTTTGTGGTTTCCCGTAGGACTCAAACTAGTATTCAGCTGACAGTTCGAAGAGCTGGTTAAGACTGGAGTGAATATTCGCAGACGTTTTCATAAACTGGGCAGAAAATCTGAGATGCAGGCTGCTGAGGGACTGAGACAGAGCCTGTGTTCATAAGAACATAATGATTCCAGGGGTGAGGAGGAAGATTTTCTAGAACTGCCTCCTTCCGGGGCAGGGGCAAAGGGATCAAGTGGGCACTTGGAAGCACAAGAAGTGGTTTGATCCAATACAGGCAGCTGCAATGCCAGACGCACGCCTGGCCTGCCACCCATCTGGAAATAAGTCAAACAGCCTCTCACTTTGTCTGTTGCTGGCTGGAGAAGAAAGTTCAAAAGCAAAGGGATTAAATTCATGAACTTTTGGCAGAAGGAAGATGAAAGAGAGGGAGAGCAGGAGGGGTGAACACGTGTGTATGGGATTTCATTTTCTTGGAAGAGCCATTTAATTTCCTTTTCTGACCTGCTAATCAGCTAAATGCTGCATGTGGCCACCTTGCATGCCCCAGAGATTGCTGGATGGCTTTGGAAAGCTGGCTCCAGGCATGCCTGTCCAAAAGCCACAGGTCTACCCATGCCACCCACCGTGTGCTCTCTTCCCAAAGGGGTTGGCAAGGATGCAGGCTCCTCTATGTAAAGTGATCACCTGAGCAGGCAGAAATGACCTGTTCCAGGTTACCGGAGCGAAACAACTCCAGAAACTCCTCGAGCCTCCTGAATGCTAAGCCACAAGTGGAAACAAAGAAACATAAAAGCCTTGACAGGGATGGACTATCACCCAGGAACTTCAAAACCTTCATACAACCTCCACTGCACTGCCCCGCCCCAGCAAGGAGAAGCAGCTCTGATCCACCCACAGGAATCACAACATTACAGCAGCCTCATTATGGTAAAAGCCTAGCAGAGATGTTTCCATTGCTCCTGTGAGCGAGAAGGGCACTGATCATAGTAAATATCCACCCGACCTCTCAGCTATAGGCTCACTGCAGGGATGTAGCTATGGAGAGGAGTATGGGAACCCAAAACATGGGAGCTAAAAATCCTGGATCATTCACAGTCCTGGACTGGACTAGGTATTTATAGTCACAAACCACAGAGGATCTGACAGCCCCTCTCCATTAAGTATCCCCCCCTTGGTCATGACAGTGGTATTAATAGTGTCCACCATAGGGACCAGGCCACCTCCTCTCCCCAAAAATATATGTACAGAATCTAGTGGTGCTATTTTCAACCCTGCTGGTATAAAGAGAGAATGTGTTTTGGTGCAAGGACTCCGTAGTTTCTCCTCCCACGCATTTGGGATGACTATGTTAATCATATGAACTGTACCGACACTTCCAGGCAATCACTTCTTCAAAAGGAAATCCTTACTTGGCGCAACCAGACAACTGTTTATTCCGCGAAAGAAAATTAATCTACAAGTAAAGAACCCAAGAGAGATAAGGTGGGTCCAATCTTTTATTGGACCAATTTCTGTTGGTGAGAGAGACAAGCTTCAAGCCACACAGAGCTCTCAGACCACAGTAAAATGCAAGGTAGAACAGATTACAGGCTAAACAAAGAATCAGCTGAAGAGAATCCACTACCACAGAACAAACACACAACTACAGGATCCACTGCAGAGTATCCAATTCCTCCCAAACCACTGTAAGGGATAGTTGACAGCGTCTGATATGCATATAGCATCTTTTATTTTTCAAAAGCTCAGTAAATCACTCACGGAGCATTTTCTTTTATTTACACATGACATACACAAGTCACCCAAGTGAAATTCTGCTCACAGATGGCGTTTCTGGCATAAGGAGCCCCATTGTGAATCCAGTCTCAGCAGAACAACAAGAAACAAAACTCCCGCACTGAAGCCTGGAGAGAGGATTTTCAAATACTCTTCAATTGTTAGAGAAGTGATGAAGCACCATCACTATAACATAGATCGGAACAGTGGGAAAGTGCTTCACTTCTTTCTGGATCCCATATGCACAGGGAGAACTATGTAGAAGCTAATGGTAAAAGAGTGGAGAATGGGCAGATGGTTCAGACACAGAACAAGTCCCGCCTTGAACGTTCGCCCATTTTCACATCCCAACCCAAGTGGAATCTTCTAGAAAAGTCTGAGATCTTTGGTTAACTTCTGTGCCCACTCTTATCTTTCACCTCAACTGACTTGGTGTAATTTCTGCTCCTCTCTGCACATCTGGGCAGAATGGGAAAGGGAAGGGGCTACAAGTCTTTACGAGTGAGTGCTCCTCGTACTCCCTGGCCAATTCTGAAGTCCCATAAAGTCCAGCTAAGACTGAGAGACATGGCCCAACTCGGAGATGCTCACCCCAACCACATCCTTTTGGGATGGATAATCGATGGCCAGACTTTCTGCACGTAGCACCTGTTTCACTTTGAAATACAGCCACAAGAGACTGGGATTGCACAAGCAAAAAGTCAAAACACAGGCAAACACACCAGGTAAATCTAGAAAGGGCATTTTTTGGAAGATGTGTCTACTGTTCAAGAGCTCGGTGTGTGTATAAATAATATAATACTTGGGTCTTGCACCTTCTATCTAGGGAGCTCAAAGCATGTTACGCCTGAATGAGTAAAGCATCCCAACACCCTGTTGTACAAATGGAGAAAGTGAGGCTGTAGTCACTCAGTCTCTTTCAGCAAATCAGTGTCGGAGACAGGGTTAGAACCTATGTCCCCTGAGCCCCACTAGCCTGTGCTGTCTCCCATCCATGTTACCCCTTTCCTGGAGAGTCTCAGAAGGCTCTCTGAGGATTAGCCTTGGGGCTGGCACAACGCAGCACAAGGCAGCAGAGACAGAGACAGCCCAAGGCATGGTTCCTCCATTCTTTGCAGAGGTTAGTTTGGTTTGTGGGAAGCTTTACCTGCACAGGGATTTGAGGGAATCCTGGTCCAGAAAGCTGTGGTCTTTCTTCACGGACGTGATGTCAATAGGGAACAGCGAGTCTGAGGGGGAGAAGGGGAAGAGGAGAATTACAGTCACAAGTTGAGTCAGCAGCTCTACCAGGAGACAAAGTGGGCATATGGGGGAGGGGAGGGAGAGGAGGTGTGACCTGGAGACGGGAAGAACAGGGAGGAAAATGGGAGAGCCACAGAAGGGGGGAGGGTGGGAGACTTCTGAACCCCAGCCATGAAGACTGTGAGCAACAGGTGAAAGATAAGATTAATGCTTGGGCAGTGCATCTGCGTTCCACATGGAGCAGCTTCGCCATGGGACAACATCCGGACACTTCCTGGGATGGTAGAACGGGAGGGAGAAGCAACATTGTCCTTCCCAGAAGGTAGCGAGCATTATATCACCGCTTTGCAGACAGCCCCGAACTGCCAAAGGGAGCTCCCAAGGGGCAGGGCTCAAGGGTCAGACTCCAACAGCGCAGGAAGGAGGCTGGCCAGACATTCCCCCCTTGCAGCTTCACGTTTGGCAGCTTCTGTAGGGCAGCCGGAAAAGGAGAAGGGGGAGAGACCCGGAGGTGGAAGAGGGGAGACTCAGTGGTGCCTAGCTGTCATGGTGATGGGCACAGGAGAAATGCAGAGATGAAAAGGATGAGTTAGACTGTGGAGATGGGCGGAGGGGGAGAAACAAAGCCCACAGAAAACGAGAGGGTAGCACCAGGGATATAAACCAAAGCACGATGTAAAAAGAGCACTAAGAAATGTAAACCCCGTTACTCAGCAGCTGCCTATCTCACCTGCTTATTCTCAGACACAGTTTCCTCCCTGCAGGGTAAATACTCCATGGTTAAATGACCCTGGCATGTGCTGCTTGGAGCCAAGCGCGCCTCCTGGGGAAACACTTTCCATTTTTTTAAACTATCCCATCCAACTGTATTGACAGATCAGCCAATTCACAAATAAACACCCATCTGCACTCAATGCCCCACACAGCCCTCACGCATCCACGCCCCCACAGGTAAGCACATCTCTCCCCCACCTTGCCACATCTGGAACACAGGCTGCAGTCACACCCATGGGAGGGTAGAGTGCGAGCACTGCAGAGGGTAAACCTCTCCCTGCACAGGGTCTGACTTCCCCTTTGGCACTTGACCAGCTTTCTGAAAGTACCTGAAGGATGAAAGCAGGGGGAGAAGAGGTCACCAGGAAAGGGGGAGGGGAATAGGTTACTGTATTATTTCCCTCTTCAAACAGCCCCTTCGTGCTTAATTTGTTCGGCCACATGTTCCTGAATACTTAGGGTTTCATTGGGAGCTTTAAATTAACAGGTACATGTATGTGTCAGAGCACAGGTAACTGACCCCATCCCCAGTGGCTACCCAAGAGAGGAGGCTGCAAGACAGCAAGTTATTCTCCTCAGGGCAGGAATCACTGATGCTCCTGAATTCGTTTCAGACAGTGATGATAACCACAACACTATGCGCTTCTTTCTCCTCTTCCACGCGAGGATCTCTCCCTGCTTGACTAGTGGGGGTATGATGATCCCTGCTAAATGACTTGCCCAGGGTCCCACAGTATGTCTGGTGGAGATGGGGACAGAAGTCCGAACACCTGACTCCCTCTAACTTGTTAGATCACACTCTCTCTCGAGTATGCAGAATAAGAATAATCTTACTAAAGGCACCTGCCTCTGGAGCACCACTGTCAGGAGTGGGGGAGACACATGGATCTGGACCCATGCCGTTTTTTTGGAGTGTGGCAGCATCCCCAAAATCATCTGTTAAGCCTCTCAGGCCACTACCAAACAACCCACTTTTGGAGCCAAGCATGAGTGGCTCAGACAGCAGAGTTGCACTCTCTGAAAATGCACTGCTCACAGTGTTTCCAATGCTCCAAATCTAGACCCAACCCAAACAATAAGGCCCCTGTTTTCTGGAGAAAAGCCAGTTGTTATACATCCGGTAGCCACAGCAGTGATGTGATGTATCAGGGCTTCCTCCTCAGCCAGCGAGCATGGACGGGTCCCCAGCTGAGAATGGCTGGTTTGAATATCTTTCATTGGCATTCAAAGAGCCCACAGCTTTGGCTCACAGGAAAAATCCACACCTGCACCCACAGGAAGGAAAAGAGGAGAGCAGTGAGAAGGGCCAGGGTAGGGAGACTTCATTAGCTGTGCTGCAAACTCTCTCAGACAGACACTCTCCCTCTGCTAACCCACCAGGCCTGTGTCAATCAAGTGGTATGGAATGTGCACAGCAGCATGGCTGCTCCGGGACCTCACTCAGCCTCCCCCAGACCTCACTCAAAAGTCATGAGTCAAGTTTCGGAGGACAGACACGTTGGCTGGCATCTGGGCAGGGGCTGGGGGGAGGAGGGAAGTTAGCATATGTTTAGAAGAGTCATGTCTTTAAACACAGCTATCACTAGCAAACAGTTATCATAGGGTTTTCCATAATGCACATCATCACTGTAGTATCTACAAGCCTTCCAGGTAGATTAGATCTGCATAGCAAGGTCCTTAGAAAACCACATGGAACTTTCTGCTTCTTTCCCTCTTCTAGGAAGCTCTGCTGGGGACATACATATATACTTTTTATTCTATTCATGAGGGCAGAAGCCTGATTGTAACTGAAGCCATCCAGTGCAGGTTGCAACACAGGGATGAAGGGAATGCTGAGCCCACAGAGAACAGGAAGAAGTAGAAAGAGAAGCTGCAGAAGGATGTAGAAGGCTTTGTTAGACCAGTACTGAGTTTAGACTGTTTCTTGACAGACTCCAGTGTCTAGAACCCAATTCTTGTCTCGCTGAGAGTGAGCTGTAACCAGCTCACAGGCAATCAGATCTGGGCCTAGATTCCAGAAATCTGGTCAGTCTTTACACTTGGATGCACACAGAGGTCACCCCTAAAATAGAAACTAGAAACAAAGAGGCAGGCTGTAAAGCTATCAGCAAGGAGGGACTATCTTGCTTTGTGTGCTTATGTTGCTGGGAGGGGGCAAGTGGAAGTGTCCCAGCTGAACAATAGCTGGCTTTGCACATTGCCTGGAGGCCAGGCTTCCAGCTATTGTTCTAGCCTCCTCCTTCCTCAGGCTAAGCTGAGCCAAAGCTGTGATTTTTCAACCTCCATGGGGACCACTGGCCTTCACCATGTGTTAGTAAACAAAGTTAGGTCCAGAAACACACTCTGCAAGGGTTAATTTGCAGATGGGGTTTGTGAACCCTGGTCTACACTACAAACTTACGTCAGTATAGCTACATCACTCAGGGATGTGGAAAATCCGGTGTAGACAGTGCTATGTCGACAGGAGAGCTTCTCCCATCTATGTAGCTACTGCCTCTCAGGGAGGTGGATTAACTACGCTGACAGGAGCAGCTCTCCTTTTGGCATAGGTAGCGTCTTCACTACATCATCACAGCCACACTGTACACGTAGACAAGCCCTGAGAAACACACAACGCATGAGCAAGTCAGCTGGATTCATCCAGCCGCCTCTCCTAAAATATCCTTCCTTCTGGGACCTCCCAATAGAGAAATGCAGCTCCCAGCACAGAGGTGCTATACTCGGGGAGCGCACAAACCTGGCTCCTGCATACTGAGTTGGGGAATGGCATTTGCCAGCAAAGAAATCTTCATTCCCACTCCTGTGCCATGGCCAGCTCAGCTGCACATGCATCACCAACTCCAGCAAGAGCTTATTAAAATACCTGCCAACACTGTCATCTATGCAAATCTGTCTTCCCCCTGGCCTGGTCAGGCATCCTGGGAACTTTCTAGTGGTGCTGCCTGAAGGGCAGAGGTTTAGGAATGCAGAAAGGCCGATAACAAGACTCGTTCTCCAGGCCTCTATCAAGTCGGAAGGCTTCAAGTTGTAACATATAAGCATACAATTAGCAAACTGCCCCCTCCATCTCTTCCTCTTCCCCAGTATTTCAGTCTGGCTCCAGTGATCTGAGAACTTCCCCTGCCATCTACATCTAGTTAAGACACACACACACACACACGTCAGGTATTTCTGGGTCATCAAAACTGGAAAGAATAGGGAAGGCCTGGAATGAATAGCCCCATGGTCTGAGCATACCATACCATCAGGTCTACTCCCCAACCCAGGCTCCAGCTAGCCAAGACCCTAAGCACAGCTGCCAGGGACAATGTTGTCATGGATCAGAGCACAAAATCAGACAGACAGTCACTACCACAGTGACAACAAAAGTATAGCAGCCACTCTCGGGTAGCAGCCATCCCTGATCACATAGGAAGAAGGCTGCTGTTCAGACACATCTCCAGACTTGAGCAACCAACTACACCCAGTCTCACTCTGCAGAACCCATCCTGATGAGGAACAGGATGATACTCTGGATTTGTTCTCATTTTCCCATCCATCCAAGGCTGACGATACCTGGAGCTCATCAACACTGCATCGAGCACTGGCCCAAGAGCGCTGGGGGTCATCTTTCCTCTTGGGAGTTAAGTGCTGTCTCACGGGTTCTCTCAGCTCTTCCTGGCTAAGGGAGCACGTGTAACAGCTCAGGACTAGAACCCCAGACTGGTGGGACTGGCATCCCTTCTACACATGGTGCAGTCCTGTTTTCAAAGGCATGCTCTTAGAGAAATGAGAGTTCTACCTCTCCCCCCAGCGCTCCCCCAAACCAGAGAATGCAGGAGAGGTGACACTTACCTTCATAAAGTTGTGCATACTGAGGAAATCCTGCTGCACGCAGCCAGTCACAAGCTTTCTTGGCCTCGACTTCTGAAACAAAGCAAATGAACTACTTTGAGAATCTCAACTTCATTATCTCCAAAGTATGGCAACATGCATAGGGTCTGGGCCAGTCCAAACACTCCCGAGCTTCTGAACTACATCTGGATCCAACCTTCGTGGCCTGAACCCATTTTTAAATGCACTCCAGCCAAAGTAAATATATTTACATGAAATGGGATGTGTAAAACCCACAAATCCCCCGTTGGCAGCATTCATTCAACAAGCCTGGGCTAGCACCTATGCATGGGAGGGGAGTGGTTAGAAGGAGACGACATCAGGACCCTGAGAGCACAACCCAAATGGAGCATTTACGGATTCTATTCTAGGATCTATTCTCCTTTAGCATTAGAATAATGCACCTTATGAGAGGGGCATTGGACCCTCACCCTTTGTTCCTATTTCTGTGCTGCAGAAATGTAGTCTCCTTCTCCCATCCTCTAACAGGACTTATTGTCCCTTAGCATCAGCACAGAAAGGGTATGGAACGGACTATGGAGTTGCAACATAGGGATTTGACCACAAGAAATGCTTTTAATCTCCTGCTGAAATATTTGGTTTCTAAACTCCCTGAACTGAGTGACAATTTGCCAGGAGAGAGGAAGAATCTTTAAAAAATAAGTTAGGGCTCATAAAAGTTTGGGGGCTGATCACTTGACAGGCCCTCTGCAGGCTTCCACCACAAAAGAAGTCTAGGACCAGAGACTATGTTAGCAACCCCACTGGAATCAATGGGACTAGTCATGGAATTAGGGGCTACTTAATATGAGCAAGGGGGATATAATCAGGCTTCCTCATTCATGACATATGAGGGATATGAACTCTGACCTCTGCACCCCTGCTCTAGGCTATTGCCCTGTGGTCTGATTTTCACAGCCCCCATTGACTTTAATGGGAATTCAGAGCACTCAGCAAACATGAAAATGAGGCCACAGGGCAATACCTCAGACCGCTGCCAGCAACCAGCCAGAGAGTGTTTGTGAAACAGAAATCAGGACAGCGACCAGGTTCTTACAAAACTTAGTAAGGGGCCCAGCTCTGAATTACTGACAGTGCTATGGGTATTTGCTTATACGTGGCTTGAAAATCCTCTGGGGGAGCCAATAGAACAGCTGACACTTTGTTTTCTAGGAAATTTCTAGAACTTTCAGAACCCGAGGTTGTCAGCCACAATCCCATGCAGCTGAGGGAAGCTGTTGTCTGATGTCAGCAGTCATCAGACTGCTGGGCAAGATTAAAGTTTATGATCAGGACCAACGTATTTTACAAGAGAGAAAATCCTATTGTAAATTCACATAGATTCTTCCTCGCCCACTTTCCCCTTAACAGCAGCTCTGCTGTCCTATAGATGGACAAATGGCTGGTTCAGGCAAGAGCATCTTGGAAGGAAGCACCCCCAATGACATCAACAACCCCTGTCAGGAGCACTCAATATATTTATTATAGAGCAATGGAAAAAAAGCACAAAATAAACATTTCACTTAGAGATAGGACTGAGCTAAAATCTTGGGTTCAAATGCCTCTGGGCTTTGGAATATCATTCTAGATCAGGATCCAGATTTTTCAGCTGCCCTTAACTCTGTATTGGGCCGAACCAAAACCCTGGATCTGGATGATCCACCTGAATTCTGAGAGTCAAAATCCAAAATGTAAATCCGGATCCAAATTTTGGCACTCCAGTCCAGCTGTCATTTGAATTAAGGTTAAGTTACTTTGGAAAGTAGTTGTCATTTTAATTCAGGGAAAGTTACTTTGGAAAATGTGCACATAAGTGTGTGTTTGTCTCCTCCAACCCACATCACGCAGCTGTAAACTGTATAACACAGGAGACTTGGAACAGCAGCACACAGCGAAGTGCACCATATGCAAAATATAAAGAGCTCAGAGAAGCCTGATAGAAGGGATCACTTTTTTCTGATAAGGTGACCAGATGTCCCGATTTTATAGGGACAGTCCCAATTTTGGGGGCTTTTTCTTATATAGGCAACTATTACCCCCACACTCCCTGTCCCGATTTTTTACACTCACTATCTGGTCACCCTATTTTCTGATCACTCGTAAGGACCATGCGGTGTGACTTCTGCTCCCCCTTCTTGCACTGGAGGTATTTCCAGATCTTAGGGAGGAGAGTAAATCCGTATTTTATGTCCTATTTTAAAAGGAGAAAACATTTACTGGCAACCTAAGGGCACCGTGCTTAGCTGAGCACAAGCATTGGGAGGAAAGCCATCAGGTCATTCCCAGTTAAACACAGATCACGCTGCAAAGACCGTGCGAACACGAACCCTTGCCTGCCCGACTGCACATCCCATCCAGAATCGCAGAATAAAAGACATTTCACCTCCTTCCATTGCAGGGGGAATGCTTTTTAAAAATGTGAATGTTGTAACTCAGCTGCAGGAAAATACCCATGCTCCATTATCTTCTGTCAAATCAAAGTTGCCAGGTTGACAGCCCGGGAGAATGAATCTCTCTTCTATTCGCAGAACAGCTGCGGCCCACACACCTCCTCACCCAACATGCCTTACTCTGACCTGGAAGGGACCCCTACTAGAAATGAAAGAGGAGATCAGTTTCTGCAGTCCATTAAGGAGGCCAATAAAAGTGGCAGTTTTTGTGATGGTGATACCTATTTATCAAAAACTAGACGGAGACCCTCCAAACTCCACTCTGGTCACCAAACAAGACCCTGGATCTTTTTCTTTTTTAAAAACAGAACTGACCGGGGTGAGAATACTTCCAAAGAGAAAAGCTAAGAAACAAACAGGAGCCACAAAGGGAGTTTTGTGATCCCTTTTTTAGCACACACTGCTGTGCTGAGCTTACCTCTTACAGTAGGCAGATTGAACTGATAAAACAGCATTGCAGAACTGACGCCGAGCAGGCTGATCAACCATCCATGCAACCTCTGGGACTCACAGGAGCAAAACCAGCCACACTATGGTGTCCAAAGACTATCCTAGCTGCAGACAGACAGATGGCGGGAGAGGGAAAGGACGTGGAATCAAAGGATTCTCGGCAGAGGCGGGCTCCCATCTACCCCTCCAGAAAGGCAGGGAATGGCATGTGCTCACTTGGCAGATCTGGGATCTAAATGAACTGTACTTCACATCACCAATGGAAACGTGAAGTCAGAGAGCGACATTTCCTTCCCTTGTACTGGAGTCAGTCCAAAATGCACTGGATGGAGGAGGGGGAAATCTGCCTTTTCTCTAGCTTGTCGGAATGGAGCTCTCTGCCTTTTAAACGGTTCAGCCTTCAATGGTGATTCCTTTGTTTTCCCCCAAACAGTTCCTCTAAGAATGGGTTCCCAAGAGCCGCTGCACTGGGAACATGGGGATCATAGCTCCAACAGCCTAACCACCCATGGTAAACTCACCGCCATCACCAGCCCAGCACCGAAAAGGTTTCAAAGTGTTTCTGTTCAGGCCAAGAGACTGCAGTCAATTTCCTCTTTCCCTCCCACCCTTTCCATGAAAAGTACTTTCCCACGGAAATCCTGAAAAGAATCTTTCTGAGCCGCAAGAAGAATGGGTAGAACAATAGTTACGACAATAACTCAAATGGATTCCAAAGTCCTGACCAAAGGAAAACAACATCACAGTAGCACCCAGAGAGATGTCACAGGTGCACATGCTGCAGCATTAACAAAGATTGCAAGACAGCCTGCGAGATTTCCAGCCAGATTCCTCTTTCTCACCCACGCATCACAAGCTCTGCAAAGGCCTTGAAACCATGATCAGCTTAGCAGCTCACTGTCACCAGCGGAGGTCCAAAACGGGGCAAATTCTTCTCTATATTATACCAGCGTAAAACCAGAATAACCCCACTCGACTTCAAAAAAGCCACTGGGAGCCATTACTGCCTGAGTAAATACCCTTCCCAACCCAGCTCACCAGCCCAACACCCCCTCTTCCAGTCTCTCTAAAGTATCCACTTCTTCCACAAGGCCCAGAAGAAATGAGGTTATGATTTAAAAGAGAAAAAGTCATGCAAAGTACCCCATTTCTATGATTTCCAATGTGTCCCACTTGCTATGAGTCCATATCCCAGACTTCGCGATGCAGGATCTCTCTATTTTGCATACGGTTCAGGCTGAACTGTGGCACAGTGCCTTCTAGCGGTTCCCAACAAGAAGCAGGCTAGAGAGAGACATGGAGACCACAGTTCTCTGAGTCAGACACTGGATACGGTTTCATTCATCATGTTGTTGATGGAATTGTCAAATAAAAGCATTGCCCCGAAACCTCCTGCTTTCCTGAGAATCCACCATGAACAATAAACCACAAATAACATGCTAAGCTGGGGTAAGAAGATGCCAGGATTTAGCCCCATTTGTGTTTTCTTGGTACCTTTTTCATTTCAATTAAAATAGAAGTTTTATTTTTAATTTTCTCCGCTGTCATGTTGGGAACCCAAACACAACAGCACCAAGCTACTGAATGAGAGTCATAAAGGGAAACTGAAACAAGGTGAAATTTATTCTAGTTTCACTACTGAAAGTGCAGAAATTACTGCTGCTCAAATGCAACACAAATGACCTTAGAAACTCTATCATAATCTCTGTGGTTATCAGTAATGCAGATTGGTTTTTTTGTTTTTTTTTGTAAATAGGAATTTTATGTTGATGTAACCCACTGACGAATGTGTGAGATATGTCTCTGAGCCTGATCCACAGAGGATATGAGTCTGTTGCATCCGCAGCCGCAGAACTTAGGTATTTAGCTCGAGCTGTAGTAGCTCACCCATTTAGCTCTGGGGGTCCTCGGTTCAATCCTAGGCGGGTTGGCCATGACAGCAGATATCATCCTAACACATGCACTTGAATTGCAAAGAGAAAATACATTGAGTGTGCAGAGCAATCAGATCACCCCCGCCCTTCAGCCTTCTCTTGGAGAGGCAGTGTGAAATGTAAGGTCCAGTTCTCCGCCTTTTGGAGCTGCAGCACATAAGGTGCAAACCCAAGGGGAGAACGGGGCAAAAATGGCTTT